AAATATTCTTGACTATGAATAATTTATTCTGTACTTTGTCTTTGATAAATGGGAATCTCAAAGAGTGCCTATTCAAACTCCATAATTCAAACCTTAAATGCTATATCCCGCAAGCAATGCTAAATTTACTTTCGCCACTTTGTTTTTCCCCCAGAAACGAGGGTGTTTTTTTCTCCTTCAAATTCAATTTGTATTTGATTTGTTACCCACTGCCTGAGTCATAACTTATCAAGATGCTGCAGAGTCTGTACATATATCTTAAACCCACAACCTGCTAAATTTATGTAATGGATTTGCCCAGCCTTAAATATGGAGCAGTCCATTTCAATTTTAAGGTAATTACTATTAAAATACAAGTTTGAGCTACCCGTGGTACATGGTATTTAAAACCTGGTTGGCTACAATGCATGGATATACAGGTAATATTTTTTACCCTCTTTAATTGCCTCGAATTACCCTGAATCTAGAAGACAAGTTTATCTTGAAATATCTCAAATCAATTTCAAAGAATTGATAGTATCAAAAGTTTACATAACACTTCAAATTGACAGCATCTCCACTTAAGCAATATCTGTATACAAAAACAAACAATTATTACCTCGAAAATCTTCAGAATGCTAATAAGACTGTGGGTAATTAAAAAAAAATCATAGTAAACCCTGAGGCCCTTCCTCCCTTCCTGGCTTAGTAATCCTCTTTCGACCCAAACAAGAGATTAGATACTAGATTATCTGATACCTCGATTTAAGTGGCTTTTCCTTATCTGACAAGCTAATCAGTTCAAGATGTGGTAATTATCAAGACATTGCCTTTTTAACATAGCATGAAGATGTTTCCAATCCACTCCTATATACCCATTTAAACTAGCAATTACAGGCTTTAAGTCAGAAATTTAAACATGCTGGGTTGGGTTTTTTTTTGCATATTTAAAACTTGTAGAAAGTTGTATACATTAAGAACAAATTGGGATGTTAATTTCCAAGTAGGCTCTAATTAAAATAAATACTGTGATGTCCAAATGTTGACAGATCTAAAAACAAAACATCAGATGAGCATTTAAAACTGAATGATTAACAGTCTATATAAATTTGGGGGTACATGCACAATGTCCTAAGTGCTACAAGTATGTTGGCCTTTGGTCCAGTGGGCATTTGGTCTACTGGTGTTAACAGCAGAGTTTAAACAGAGTGTTTCAAATCTGACGTATAACCAAGGTCCTGTGAATACATCTATTTCTACAAGACTAATGGTTCATATAAACACTGAGAACATCTGGATATATATATGCATCTTTTTGTTCCAAAAATTAAGTGACTTCTAACTGATTTCTGAAATGATTTGTCAATGTATATCAGTGCTGCCAATAATACAAACAACATTTTTTGTCAGTACACCATGTCACTGGGTATCAAAATGAACTTCCAGACTGAAAATATAAAACTATGAAAATGTATTGTAAAAGAACAAACTATGCTTATTTTACTTCTGCTATCAAAAACCTATAGCCAAAAACCGATTTCAGAGGAAAAACAAAAATACTCTTCAGAAATATTACACGGAGATCTATTGCAACCTCCGAGAGATTAATGGGTGTTTCCGCAGCAATACTGCGTAAACAGACCTTTTGATGTTGTATTAACGCACATTCTATCAAACAGCTACAGGAAGTTCTCCGTCATTGAAGCTCAGATCATTTGCTCATCTTTTTAATTAATCTTTCCATTAACCTTGTGCATCATCGACATATTATATTTAGCTACAATGCGACTAGCTTTCCATCATATTTTTAAAACATCAAAGACCAAAGAACGGGTAATATATCTCTTTTATGTGTTTTTTATCCATTTCAGAAATTGTTATCTGGATTATGGATCCTGTTAAAGGTTGAAAATTGCTACAGTTTCAGTTACATTTCGATTACTTAATGGCTGACAATTAACAGCTTTTTTATGCAACATTATCGCTGATTTAGTTTGTAGATTATGGTCATTATTAAATCTCGACATTGTATTTTGATTTTTCGATACCACTCATCATTACAAAGAAAAAGCTTAAGGAGACAAAATTTGAATGGGAGTATTTTTTTATCAGTATAGTATAGAGCCAGGCCTGGGCCTAAACTGTTCTTGAAGCCTGAACTGTCCTTGAAATACAACTCAACCTATACAGACTGTTGTATCTGCCAGTAAGCACTCCTAGTAATGAATGATAAGGGCAAAACCTTTACTTAAAACATATGATTTTTTTTTTACCAATTAAAGGCCCAATATGCCCCAAAAATGCTTAAATTAATATCCATTTTATTTTTTTTGTGTTATGTCATAGTATCTAAAAGGTTTTTCATCAAAATTGTCAGTTACATGTAGCTAAACCATCTTTTGCATTTGTTCCTTTTGGCAATAAGTACAGTAATAATGATTTGGTATTTTGTATGGAAGTCAAAATACTACTTCATTTAAATTTTGTTACTTTTATGACAAATAATTTTGCATTCAGCACTCCAGTTATCACTTGATAATTTAAGCATCTAACTTGCTTTCAAACAATTATTTAAACATTATTTAACTAATGTTTCCCTTTCTACAGAAGGATAAATTTATTTGTGCTTTAAGTCTCATGTACAATACTGTTGTAGATAACAGATATATTAAAAAAAAAGTCATGTACACAAAGAGAAGTGGTTTCTGACAAGGTTCACATGGTCAAGAGTGTATTTATTTAAAACTTGAAACTTGAGTGGTCACAAAATGGTCAATACCGCAATGTTTTCTTTTGGTGGTAAGGTTACGAAGACTGACCTTAAACAACCTGAGGGGGGTCATAAATGACACCTATAACCCTAATATTATTGCCAATTACAAGCAATAAAAGATAATGTCTACATGTTTATTACCCATATTAAATAGACTGGGCCTAGAAGATAGCCAGATTGACTGATAAAATTTGATAAGTCAATTAAATTAATTGAAGCACCATAAAACAATCTCCAATGAATGGCGTCATGTATTAAAACATGATGATTATATTCATGCCTTGTAGTTTGTATAAGTTTCCTTTGCATTAATAATAATCAAGTAAGAAAAATACTGGAACAATCATCATCTTTAATATTGTACCAATATATTAGCAGAGCCAAGGGCCTAAAGGTCAGTTAGTTTTAAGCAAAGTTATTTCAGCTGCATTGCGATCAAACTAAAAGCTTGAAGATCTAACCAGTCTTGTGTCTGGTTTCTGGAACTTAACCAGTACTGGTGTAATATATGGAAACCAGTACTGGTGTAATATGAAGAAACAGTTGGCTGACAGAAAAACACATTAACTAAATCTATAAATTATATTTTAATGACTTGTATAAATTTGTCACTAATTATAGCATTTTTTAAAAATTACTTTAGGTGGCTGTGGTTTGCAGCAAAAAAAAATCAATTAATTGTTAATTGAAATTAATTTAAAATCAATAACACATCAATCATTCTTTTGTAATAAATTAACAGTTAACTGGTTAAAAAGTAATGAATAGGCAGAATAAATAAATATTCATAATTGAACATTGGTCTCTAGTATCATGAATACGTTTTTCCCTTTTTTCAAATTTAATAAAACTGTACGGTATTTTCAGGTCTTAAATAGCATTGAATAATTTGAATTAAGTAACACATCCCAAAAAAAAGGGGGAAAAAGTTTGTGTTGTAAGGGTAAGGGTATTTGTAAATATTGATATTTGTTTCACAGGTGTCACAGTTCAATAGATATAAGTCCCCAATTGACACGCCACTCAGTCATTTCAATAGCTTCGGGATTAGTTTATTGTTTGTACATAGGATAAAAACAAAGATCAGATTGGCCTACAGGGACACATTAATTGATACCATAACATTATGATAAAACAGGGAACAGAATATCTGGCATCAACATTTGGTTTTAATGAGTCTGTGTCTACTTAAAATTATGACATTTGACGATAATACAAAATAATACAAGGTACATTGTACATGTATACCCTCTATCACACTGTAGACTATTAAAATCATGGCTTCTTGTAATCATTTTTCACTGTTGTACTTTAAACAAACAATGTTCTGTTTTATTTTATTAATAAAATGGTGCCAGATTACTAACTGACATTTAACAGTATACAAAATAAATACAATCATGTTTATTGAGGTTTAAAATTAAATGTTTCTAATGATTAATCAATTATAATTATATAAATATTTTTTTTTCTATTCATTGCCTTAAAGGAACTCCACTGAGGTTAATAAGCCTAAAACATAAAATTTTCATTTTTCACATAGATCAACACGAGCTATTAAAACAGAAATATAAATAAAATATAACTAAGAAACATACAGGAAATACATTGAAAATCGTATGTTTGTGCTATTCTCTGTTCGATTTGAGTGAAAAGCGTTTAAACGCTTTTCAATTTTGGGTCATTTTTCACTATTATAATTATTATTTTGGAAAAACAGAATGAGCTAATGATCTGAAATTTTGCACATAAGTTATAAGTATAGATCTACATCAAATAGAGTAATAATCTCAAAAAAATATTTCCAGTCCCGTCAAACCTCAGGGGAGTCCCTTTAAAAATAAACAGTTTTAATGGCTTTGGAAGATACCGTATCTCTGGCTAAGGGGTGCAAAGTGACTAATTCTGATTTATAATAATTGAACATGTACTGTATTTATTTCAATTTCATTAGGCTTGAAGAAGAAAGTTATCATATTGCAGAAACAAATGAATGTTGCAAATTATATGAAATATCAAAAATGCTATGCCTATAGTAAAATACAAGAATAAAACAATAGTAGGAAATTCATTTATAATATAAACGCTGAACATTCTGATTCAAACAAAGGAGTTTAGTCGGCAATAAAAGTAATTGGACAAAATTTCTGACTCAGTCGGTGTCAATGTAAACAAAAAGTTCATTCAATGAAATCAGTGTGAAAAAGCGCCGAAAATTTGTCTTTCAAAATCAAGCATATTAACTTACATGTATGCGATGATGAACAGCTAGATTCTGCTAAAATCACAATTAAAATCCATAATAAACTGACGGTTTTTAAGTCCAGTCCATGGCCTTTCGCCATGATCGTAACAACTGACTGATCATTGATGTACAGTAGTGTACAATACGCTTCCGCGTAGCGCCCTCTGTAAACATTGACAAGTGCCCGTTAAATTGAAGAAAGCACGTGGCGCGTTTTTTTACACGGTCAGCAACTGAACGCTGCACGTAATTCATTTTTAAAAACAAATTTTAAGAATAGTTTTCAACATTTAAAGCCATTGACAAAGGAGCACGCATTTATGAACATCCGTAAAATCTGTGATAAAATCGAGCATAAGAAAATACAAATGTACGTGTATGTACATTTGTATACATGTCAAAGGTTTAGAAATGTATAAATATTCACACATGTGACAACTTAGTTGTATTACGCAAATTTTATGACGAAATCCACAATTTTTAAGGGTCATAACTAATAATTCTACCACGCATAATACTAATGGTACCTGCATATTTTATTGCATTACCGTGGTTATTTTTTTCTGTGTGGGTGAATTAGGCTAGCTTCTGTCCGTTTATTTGACAAATACTTTCGTTGTTAAATTTCAATACAATTAGCATGAATTTTTAGGCATTCTACTATTAATGTTAAACATGTAAAAAAATCTGGAAACAAAGTGATCCCTCGGAAGCATTAATCACAACAAAATTAAATTACAATCGGTTTGATTGAGTCTGTACATGAGGGATAATGAATAAGTGCAACATCCCTCACCCCAAGCACAGGCTTGAGTGGTACTCAATTCTCAACACTTAGCTGACATCAATGATCCCGAAGGACCAGAAAATATATAACAACACTGAAGTGAAGTACGGGGCAACTTTTTACCTGTTGTGAAGTATCAAAATCTGGAAACAATTAAAGTGATCCCTCGGAAGCATTAATCACAACAAAATTATATGAAAATTGCAGATCCAGTTTGATTGAGTCTGTACATGAGCGATAATGAATAAGTGCAACATAAGTAAGCGAGCATTTTAAAATAGGGATTGATCATTCAAAATCATTTTATACATGTACTAGTACATGTATATGTTTGGCAGTTTGTGAAAAGGGTGTTTGAAGCATTGCTTTTTAGTTCACCTGTCACAAAGTGACATGGTGAGCTTTTGTGATCGCTTTTCGTCCGGCGTCCGTCCGTCCGTTCGTAAACTTTTACTTCAAACGACATCTGCTAATAAACCGCTAAGCCAATTGCATCCAAACTTCACAGGAATGTTCATTTAGTAGTCAACTTTAAAATTGTTCAAAGAATTTAATTCCAAGCAGAACTCTGGTTGCCATGGCAACCGAAAGAAAAAAACTTAAAATATCTTCTTTTAGAAAACCGAAAGAGCTAGAGCTTAAATATTTGGGATGAAACATCATCTAGTCAGTGTCTAGCAAGTTTGTTCAAATAAATGCCCTGGGGTCAAAATTTGCCCCGACCCGGGGGTCATTGATTTTCCGTATATGTGTATAATAAAAACTTTAAAAAAAACCTTCTTATAAAAAACCCAAAGAGCTAGAGTTTAGATACTAAGCATGAATTATCTTCTAGTGAGTGTCTACCAAGTTTGTTCAAATAGAAGTCCTGAGGGGGTCATTGTTTTTCCCTATATGTATATAGTAAAAACTTAAAAAATCTTCTTATAAAATCCGCAAAGAGCTAGAGCTTAGATATTTATCATGAAACATCTTCTAATGGGTGTCTACCAAGTTTGTTCAAATAAAAGCACCTGGTTTAAAATTGGCCTTGGCCCAGGGGCCTATATACAGGTGAGCGATTTCAGGGCCATCATGTCCCTCTTGTTATCACTAAATGTTACATGTAAATGTATATGCCAAATTGAAATCTCAGCATTGTACTTATTTATCATGGAGAGTGAAGAAGGGAAAATAAGGTGGGGGAGTTCAGATACAACAATGAATAAATGTGTTATCCTGATTGACATTGTTTTGTCATAAATCAGATTAAAACAGAACTGCGGTGGAAAAAACATATACTTTCTTTATAAATTATTTTAAACTACATCATTATATAATGTAATTCTCTGATTTTAAGTACCATGGATTATGATTGTTTTTCAAAGTTACACCGACACTTTATAGGACATATGGCGATTTTTCCAGTCCAGTTTACTGATAGAAGAACGCCTCATTTGCCCCTCCATGCATTATTTTAGGCACAAGCGGACACCTGAGTAGAACAGCCGACGTTCCTTTATTTAGCTAATTGGGTGGCTACCTGACACGCCTCCTATAATATATGTTTAACGTACAGCTGTGTACCCGTGCAAAAGAATTCACTATTGTACTCAACATATATAATAACTTTATAACATTTCATATTTCGTATTTAATTACTTATAAATTGTTTCTCCCTTTCACAATTCCATATTCTCAACAAAACATTGGTGTTGCATATTATATACCGTGTTATTAATTCTAGTCTCTTAAGACTGCATTTGATTTAAAAACAATCCAATATTGAAATCTGACTACTGTCTAAATCGTTGCTTGGTGCTTAATATAAATGATGCTCCACTTCCGTATTCTCTCCTACAAACATACTCAATCAAATATAGTCTACAATTTTCCATTGTTAGCTCTAGTAAACAATATACAAGTTTGACTATATAAAACCGGTCTACATACGTGTGTATATGACAATTTCAAAGAAGAATAATTATAGCTCCAAACTATTAACTGGAGAAGAAATAAAAACCGTATAGAAATATATTCAACCTGTTCGGCATAAGTTTACTGTAAAAAGTGAACATAATTTAGTATTGAACTCCTTTGATAAGCTGAAGGTGTAATTCATTTTGGAAAGGAAAAGCGTATGTTAAAACGATTGTAATAATAACTTACTGAAATGCTTATGAAAAACGTAATACTGCAATAGTCAGAAATAGGCCACGAGTGACAAATACATTTTTAAATAGCGAAACAATTACAATTTCCGTTTACAATGTGGTAATACATTGTTTGCATGGCGTATAGTAAATTTTGCATGTGTTCTTTTTATCTTTCAGTTAGAGTCACTACAAAACCGATTAAAATCATTGCAATTACGTGTTTTTATAGTTTACATTGAAGTTTATTAATAGTTTATTTCAACTGAATAGAACGTGTGCAATATGAATAGCGCAAATCAAAATTTATGTTCATAATGGATTACAAGTTATTTCAACATTAGCAACAGTCGTCCCCACGTCACATTTAAAGTTGAACCTTTGCTCCAAATTCCCTATAACAGAATCTCCAAGACTATAATAATAATAATAATAGTAATAATAATAATAATAATAATAATAATAATAATAATAATAATAATAATAATAATAATAATAATAATAATAATAATAAATAACTTTATTTTTACCGAAGGTAACACATTAAGACATATAGACTAGTGCTGTTGATACTGTAAACTCTTTTTTTTGTTGAAAAAAATATGAAAAAAAATCATCATATCAATTTGAAGCAACCGATTTTGTACCAAGCTCAATTGTCCATGTAACTCGCATTTGGAACGGGAATGCACTTAAAGGTCCAGCATTTCATTTTCCATTCAAGTTTCTATTTGAGTCCCTATACGTACATAATGTTCGTTGATACTGTTTATTGTTATAAATAATTATTGATAGTAATTGAACCACATACACACAAGACCTGTGCTGAATTGAAGTATTGGACTGTTTTACATATGCTTGTCTTTGTATCATCTGCCTCAGTTGCTCGGGATTCCCTCTATTTTGACATTTGGAAGCATTTAATGGGCTACATGTATATATATATCTATCATCATGGTAAATGTGGTAAAACTAATATATATCGGTGTATGCATATTAACAAAAATCAATTTATTATCAATTAATTTGCATACAGTAACATTTTTCCACAATTTATCTTAAATTAATTACAAGGGCATATTCTACTTAATATGAACATGATGAAAGTATTTTATACAGATAAAGAACATTATATATTTAGTACTATAAAACCCAGAGTATAAGTAGCATTTAGTACTTCGGAACGAAAACATTTGGCGATGTTCAACCTCAAAACAGTCTTTAACCGGATGTTGACAAAAATCAATACACACTTTTTGACAGGATGGCGGAAGAGGAGAGGGCACCTCTTCTAACCTCAGAAGCGGGAGAAAACAACCATACTCGGCAGAGAAAACGCCCAAATATCTTTCCGACCGAACCGGTTAGGTCTAATGCGGTGTGTGCAGACGACAGGATCTTTGTGAATGCCACTGTCAGTACACCATCTGAGATAGAACCTGATGTTGTTGTTGCCATATTTGTGGTGGCGTTTGATACTAGATCAGGTATTTTTTGCATTTTAATGACACGATTTAATATTTTAGGAAATTCTTACATTTAAAGTATGTACATTTAGATTGTCACTGCATGCATATGCTATGAGTCAATTAAATTCTAGTGTAAGCATAATAGTGTGGAGACACATATCGATACATGTAATCAAGTGTAAGCTAAGTGTAATCAAATTATGCAAATAGCTAGAACTGCTATTCCCAATAGAAATGTACAAGTTCTTTTGTTGCATCTAATAATTGTATCATTTCGTACACAACATGTGACCCCTGGACCTAATCCATAAATATAAAACAATTACCACCACTGTCGAGTGATCCAGTTTCTGCTTTTATCGCTATGGTAAGGGGGAGGGGGCAGGGCAAGAAATTTGAGTAGCCTACAGCTCTTTGATGGGTCGGCTTGATGCATGCGCAGTGTATAAATGTTTACAAAATGTTTCACACTAACCAATCAATTAGGATCAAGAAGGTCAAGCTCAATCTTAGTCAGTATTATTGCTCTTTACACATTTAATTAGATGATTTTTTCTTCTTGATAAATATATTAATATACTGTTTAAGAAATAGGTTGATGCCAAAGCCAACTAATTTTCTATTGTGCCATATTGTACCATTTTGTGTCTTCTGATCCAAAATATAAATATCTCAGAATCTAGCTTTTGCATATTGATATATTTTCACTAGGTTGAAACAGGGACATAATATAAAGAAACAAGCAGCTAGATAGAGTCACAGTACCTGTGCTCGACCAGCCCAGTGCTCGACCAAAACTTCTATTCGTGTACGATTTATGCATAAAAGTGGAAAAACCCTGGAAGTTTGTGTTTGCTATTTGTACCTGACATGTAACCTCTGCACCATGTACAAGTACTCCAAGTTTGATAGAAAATTGGCCATTTTGCAGACAATATTAAACAGTACAAAAATACAATTCTATTATAAAAGTAGCAGTAAAAACTGTTTAAAACACTGAAATAATGATAATTTAGCGCAAATGTGGACTATACTTTGTTAAATTGCCTTAACTCTTATGATTCCAATTGATTTCCATAGGAAAGGTGCCCAAAAATCATCAAAACCCTGGTGCTTTCCATAAAAGACCGGGGCTATGAACATGTAAACAAACATGGCAGCTGTACGGAATCAAATCAGGAACACACCACTAAAAGCGCAGACCATTTGTATATTACACCAATTATCACACGTAACTCTGTTTGCAGAGTGATTTTAGTAAAAGAAAAATGAGAATAAGTAATCTCAAACACCCAAGTATATGTAAATTCCAAAACTCTTATAAACTCTTTATTTGTCAATGTATAGCATTCCTTCGTATCATATTTGCTCTCATATTTACATCTATAGACACTAAAACATAAATGTTTCAACATATTTTTTAAATAGAATTGTTGAACATAAAAAGTCATATCTGTTTTTAAAAAATAAGATTTCTGATAGAGATAAAACCACCTGGTCGAGCACTGGTTTGGTTACCTGAAAAATATAGTGGTTTTATACCCTATATACAACTCCGTGGTAAATTGTATCCTGATCTGTGTAATTAAAACGCTTTAGCTTATTGTGAGTTTGAAAGGGCCAGCTTTGTAACAAAAATAAGTTTCCCAGCACTCTTGTTGCTCTGAAAGAGTTTTTATGTGATTTTGTGAAAAACTGGTTGAGCACTGGTACGTCGACTCTAAGCTGTCTTATGTTGGCATCAAAATGAAAGCTGATCCATTTATAAGTGTACTTTAAAATCAGATTTTATATAATGCTGGTATTATAAGAAATTACATTGATAAATAAACATATAATGATGGCATTCATTTCCTGTCCTGTTATATTATATCCCAGGTTAAAGGTCATGTTGATGAAGTTCTACACTTATTTTTAACAGAAATTTGAATTTGACTGACTGACAGGTTGACATGTAAAATATCCAAAATGCAAAAAAGCGCATTAATGCCTTGATTTATCAATCAATTTTAAAAATATTTATTCTGATTAGAAGAACTTGAACATCATAAATTTAAGAGACATATTGTGACTTATGTTGAATTAAAAGAGTTGTGTTAAAGTATATTAAATATTCTCTTATCATGGTCATGGTTTCTTCCTGTAATATGATATATACATGTACATATAGACCTATTGATAAAAAAAGGCTGTAAGAAAATCTGTTGTCAACAGGTTCTTTATTATTGTTAATAAAACATTGTGTAATTCTTATTATATATATTTTATTAAGGCAATATGGTAGAATGGTCTATGCCAGAAGATGCTGATCTAGATGGTATAGAGTTCAAGGCTATGGTCAGTGGTTCACACACACAGTTGAAGGATTTTGTGTAAGTAAATTATTTCATTTCTCCCTGAACCTGCTGAATTGTCTTTGGGTTGCTTTGATTTTAAAATGGTCAATTAAAAGTTTAAATGTCAGAATACAAAATTAAGCTACAGAGGAATAGAGCCTGGTCAGACTTCACAGATGTGAAGGCTAGCCGGACTGTACTGGTTGCAAAGGCTTATCATGTTCTCTTCCTGTGTCTTAAGGGCTATAATAACATATGTAAGTTGCAAGCATTTGGCCAGATCAACCTGTACATCTGTGGACGTGATGCAACCATATAAGCTATAACAATAAATAAACTTAATTTTGTTCTGTTTCAGGTATTTCAAAAAAGACAGTCTTTACGGGTTAGCCTGCTTTGAAAATATGCCTGTGGACAGTGAAATAGAGCGAGGGGCAAGGATGAAATCTGTCGGTATATTAGCAACATCGTATACACTTTTATATAGACATCTACAGTTCCTAGAAACACAAGTCCGGTAAGTAATCAGCACTTGCACTTGTTTATTATTAAAAAACCAATTCAGTTAATGTGATTAATTGGACCATTATTATGTGTTTTTTTAAGCAATCTCAAATGAATAAATTTGACCTTGTTTTCAATTTATTTAAATCTAGCTGTTAGTTTCTTATAATATTTTGGATAACATTTTCATTCCCCAGGGAGCTTTTTAGTCATATTTGATATTTACAATAATTGTTTTTGGAGGGATTTATTAAAAAAAAAATTCTATGCACTAATACTTAGAATGTTCTGAATGGGATAACAAACAAAGGAAAGTGACTGCTTTCTTTCGGAAAGATGGGTTGAATTATTATTGAATATCCTGTGTTATTTGATTTATGCATGAATTTACTGTGTCACAACATATTTATGTGTATATGTTGTAGGCACCAGTTAGAGACACCAGGAAAATATACACAACTTCAAGCATTTTATGAGGACAAAACCACCGCAGCACTGTTAGCCCTTCAAAAGCAATCAAAATCCACCACACCAACCACACCTTCACGTGACCTCCTCCCTGAGTTAAAGGTAGGTGTTAACTTCCTCTCCACACCATTGTCATGTGACCTCACTCTTTATGACTAAATATACATCATGCAACCTGTTTCATCTTTATTCCAACTTCATATTTATGCATAATTATCTAGGTTAATGCAAATTGTATATTAAAGTTAATTTTCTTTGTCTGTCTGATATTAATTGCCAGAAGTATTGCTGAATGAGTTTTAAGTAATTTTGACACTGTCATATTTATAAGGAGACTTTAGCTTTTCTTGTGGAAGGAAGACCTCTGCTGGACTTTTTCACAGGTAGAGGAAGGGGCCCTCCCTTAAATTTAGGAAACAATAACACTGTATTTTTTGCAAAGAGGGAAGAAGCAACATGATGTTCATTGAGTTTCAGGGGAAAAAAGCAATATCATAAAGAATTTTCCTCAGAGAAAGCAGCCATTTAAAAGCCCCTGATACAGAAGGGGGAAATCTCTGCACCATAACTATTTGTGTATTATTTCAGGTATAAAGGAAGTGCATGAGTAGAACTACTAACCCTCCTCAACCCAAAGTTGTCAGGGGCAAGTTGTTTGAAATCAGCAATCCTAATCACTTGGCTAAGGAAGGAGTGCCAAACAAAAATAAGTCTTCAATAAACATGAATGATCTTGTAATATTATTGTCTTTTTTTTCCAGATAACCCATCCTGCTGGGTGTTTCACACAGTTTGCCAAATTTTTTGGGGAACAAATATTTATTTTATGGAAATACGCTTTGTTAGAAAAAAGAATCCTGTTTTTTTCACCGCCACCTATTGGTGTTGTCTGCTATAGAGGTGAGTAGTAGGTGATTTAATGATATCTATAATTAGAACTAGTTAAGAACTTTTTACTGCTATATACTGACAAGATTTGCGCATTAATATATACCTTGTACTGTACATTAAATATTTCCAATAAACAGGGAAAATGCACTTTTCAAGCAATTATATGGAAATGAATGATTTGACAAAATTCTAGCTGGAGCACATTAAATTTTCTACATAGTACACTGTCTAATCAGTTAAATGTCAGGGTCTGCTCCATGTCAGTGTCGCACTTTTATTCAGAATTTTGCACCAAAATAACATTGACCATCTTAGTAACAGGCTAGAAGTTCAAATGTATGGTGATACAAAATAATAAATGCAGCCATTGATACAAAATGTCACATGCATTTGGAATATCTAATTATTTGTGAATCTTTTCATATATTTTTCTTTCTTTTTCTATTTACACATCAAGAGGCATGTACATTGTAGTTTTTAATAATTTTGGGTAAAAGAGGTAGAATAAAGATTCTTTTTTAATTATATAAAAACTATTGTTTCAGTATATTGTGCGTGTTGTTTAGCCAACCATGACCTACGTGGCTTGGGTAGACGATATAAACCTCAGTTTTATGTAAATGTAGCTGATATTGAGACTTTAGAATCAGAGGTCATGTATATAGCTTGTAAGTATACAATAAGTTCTTATTATAATTGTTATATATTGGATTAAAGTCATAATTGGTTTTTACAGTTTTTAGTTTGACTATTTGAAGAAAAGAAAGAGCTATTGTATACACCTTGGTGTCAGTATCACATGTTAAGTTTTTTTTGTGCAAGTTGGTATCTCTAAAACTACTCTAAAAGCCATGAAGGGAATGGCTTGAAACTTAATACAATAATTTGAGAGTGTAATAGGAGGTCACTGTTGTAGGCCCATAATTCTAATATGTATTTTGACAGAATCTTGGCCCTTTAGAATATACGAAATTTTACATTATCCAGGCTCTTGATGTAAGAATAATCTAGCATGCTGTCCTTTTAAAGGGTATGCTATCAATTTGAGATGAGATATCTCCAAGTAAATAACCTGTTTTGGTCTTGAATACCAGTCCAAGTATAATTTTTTTTAAAATATGAGGAACCAGTCTTACATCATATATTTCTGGATAAGTAACCAGTCAGTCAGATATTTTCAAATAAGTAACCAGTCAGTTATTATGTTTATATAAGAAACTTTTCGCATTACAGGTACAACTGAAAAGATATTTGAAACTAAGACCAGTTTATATGATGTGTATGTTGATAACCAAATAGTACGGACTCATTCTCCTATACTGAAAGATCTGCTTAAGTGTAGCAGTGCTGACAGAGAAAAGTTCCAAAAATTAAACAATTTAAGGTATTATTTTCACTTTGAAGTTTCTTATTAGTGTAAATATTTGTGAAAGATTCTTGTATCTTACCAGAGTTTTTTTTTCAGTGATTTAAAAGCTGTATATGAAGATTGATAGTTATAGCATTTCTTGAAAGTAACTTGTTGAACAAGTTTGCAAACAGATTCGATGGTTGTGTTAAGTTGTAAAAAAAACTCTATGTCTGAATTTAACTCTACTTTCAAAATTTGTATTTTTATGAGTTCATTTTAGATCATTCATTTTAAAAAAATTGTATTTTTGTGAGTTTATTTTAGATCATCTGTTTTAATTTATTTTTACTGCATTTTTTTCAGATCAGCCCATCAGTTTTCCTATGAAGAATTAGGGGAAGAAACAATAGATGAGGAGGAAGTGTTTGTCTCGTGAGTGACTTAAATTTGTCCTGCTTTATATCTTAAATAGAATTGCCCATCCTTCACTATTGACAAAACCATTCATGTTTAGTAAAGATATTGAAATTTATTTACTGACTGGATGTAGCAAACAGTGCAGACAATGACAAGATGGTCCTGATGTGTTGGCTGATCCTGGCCTTCACTGCTCACGTCGGGTAGAATCTGTTGCCTCTGACAGGCAAAGAGTTAATGTTTCTGTAAAAATAAAACTGTAGAAAAATGATATACACTGTATACTAGCACTTAACTAATTTCTTATGCTCTTTTAAATACATTGTACATACATTGTTATCCAAATTATCTTTTAACAAAAGTTCAGGATTATTCAATAAAGATAAAGCTATGTACCTGTGACAAAGATGATATAGTTATATGCATTATTTAATCCTTGTATACATAAATATGTTTATCCGAAATACCTTCTAACAAAAATGATACATTTATGCATAAATTGGGTGAAGTATTCTTTTATATTTTAATCTCAGTTGTCTTGTTACAAATCTATTTCCAGGTTTTTCCATGAACAAAATAACCGTCTTTTTCAAACCTTGCTGGATGTTGCCAACTCACAAGATACACAACTCACCTCTGATCATATGAAGAGCATGGGGTTGGACCCACAAGGAGATCGGCAGTTTCTAATGGAGCTAGTGGAGCATTATGGAATAGATGTGGTGCTCATGGTAGACAACCCTTGCTGTCCAAAATGAGCAGATGGAAACAGAGAGTTACTATGATATTCCACTGTAAATCAAAGGGAACCAACTCCATCCATGAATATATATCATTGTTTTTATTTGTGAAATTGGTATGAAAACCTTAAATAGAGACATATCTTTATAGACTTTTCATTTGATGAGAAGGAATATATTTTTTTTCCTATCGAGGGAAAATAAATTTTCTTCCATGGAAAATATACAAATATACTAGTTTTGTGGCATTAATAGAACAAGAGAGAGAACTCTTACAGAACTCTCCCTTTTAATAAAGGGGAGATTACATTTGTAGTAGAAAAAATTCATTATCATACCTCAGCCAGAGATTTAGTGACAATTTGTTTCTTTTTTAAAAAAGCATATTACAAACTAATGTTAGGGGAAGAACTTTTTCAAATTACCACTATCTTAGATAGAAACACAGACAAACTTTGCAGTTAAAAGAGCAACAACAGAAAGCTTTTCCAGATGTGACTTTGTTGCCAGTTCAGTGGCCAAGGTCTGATTTTAAATAACATGGCTTTCACAATACTGGGTATTTTAATCCATGACCATCAGGCACACTGCATTATTTTTGGTGTTGGGAAGCTATCTAGAGAGCTGACGGGCTGTCTTTGGTTCTGTGCCAGTACTGTCTCTCCAAAAATTATACACTTACAGTCTTCCTAGAAAATCATTATTTGACTTAGAATAGGATTTAAACCTTAATTAAATCACAACAAAGATGTCATATCTTTATTTTATAAGTATGAACTGAAGAAAGCAATGAATTATGGGACACTATTATTGCCAAAATTTCCTTAAATAATCCATATCAAGGCTGCAAGATAAACATGAACATGTGGGTGGACAGCATCCATATGATAACTAAAGATTGATAAATATTATCAACACAAATATTTGTCATTTTAATAAGGTAAAGGGAAGTAACACAGTTCTCAATGATTTATGGGAGATAACTCCTTACAGGAAGAAAACCCCTCCAAATGTGTTCATTTGTGATAATAGTACCAAAGTGTCAGTTAGAAATAGTCCAATATATGTGTGAATGTTCAAGGTCAGTCCAGTGGTTTTGGCTGAAATTTTATTTATATGTATTATATTTTATTAAATTGGATATTTTAATCTGTTCTCTGTAGCAGAAACATTACATTTTGTACATGTAGTTATATATGTAGGTTTTAATATATTGAGATTTCTTCCATTCCAGTCAATTATTATAAACCAGTTGTTTTGATATACATTGTATAATTTATCAATTGATATCTTTATTTAGCTAATTGAATTTTGAATTGATTTTACGCTGTATTCTTCCTATTGAAACCTTTATACTTACAGAATTTTCCAGTTCATGAAATTTAACCATTATGTGGGAAAAAATCCCATGTTTGTAAGTAATTTATAATTTTATTGACGAAATTTTTTTCTCATTGAAATTTTTGTGTGATGGTACGTCTAGATTCAGTTAAGGGCCATATAATGGTGAATGATGCATATATAGTCATTCTGTAATAAAGCCATGGCCTTAGCCCTATTATTAATTCAATAAAAGGAAATAACAAGAAATGGCCCCAAAATCCATTTCAGTAGAACATTTTGGAACATCCAAAAAATTCTTGTTCTAACTTTGCAAAAAGGTCTTGTTTTCAGTGAAAGAAAAAGATTGTATCTGCTTAAAAATTCTCATATTTATAAAGAATGTGCAATAATATGTATATATCATACATTTATATAGAATATATTGTGCCAGATATGACTTAAATGTTCATTGTTTTCTATTTATATTGAATATTTTGTCCATTATATAACTTGTGTTAGATATAACACTAGTGTACATTGCTTATATAAAAAGTTCCGAATTTTTGCCTCGTCTTGTTTAGAGGTACTGTAGATTGATTCTCAAATTTTCTTATTTAACTTGATTGTTAAGGTTGTTGTTATACTACAAAAACTTTTGAAGATTAGTGTAGTGTATTCAGTATGTATTTTCTCATGTAAGATATTAAAGATGTATTTCAGTTCTGTGATAGTAATCATTTTGTATGTGTTGTAATGTTTTGACTTAATAACTTTAAAGGGGCTCCACTGGTTGTGACAAAGACAAAGACTGGAAATATTTTGGAATTTTTTTAAATAAAATTTTATGTAGGTTTATTGGTATAAACTTGTGTTCTTTAGCTCTTTGCTTTTTTTTCGAAATAATCATTTTTAATATGCAAATTACCTACAATGAATAGAAATTTCATTGTTTTGAACTCCAAGCCAAGAATCACACTGAATATAGATTTTCGTATATTCCTTATATATTAACATTTTTAGTGCCCCATACTATCTACGTAAGATTTTAAAATTTTCTGATTTTAGGCTTTTAGACCTCAGTTGAGCCCCTTTAAGGAAATATCAAGATATATACCATTTAAGATGCCAAAAGTTTTGCATCAGAATAGTATTTCTGAATTAATTGTTTTTTTTGTGTGAAATGACAACTCTTTTCATTAGGAGTTTCTTTTCTTTTAATTTGATCTGTTATTTTATCATCCCACCTTTTTGCGGAAAAATGATAATACAGTTAAAACATGTCTTTGACAAATGAGCATGAATTCCACAGTAGAACTGTTTACAAGCTTCTCAATTGTTTGACATTTCCTATGATTTATTAAGAATGCATCTGAAAATTGTGTATGGGCCTCTTAATTTTCCAGTATTGTCTGTGAAAAGACTCAAACTGAGCCTGCAGCATTTTCAATTTTGCCGTTTTGGTCGTTATTTGGAGATTCTGTTTTTAATTAAAGGTCATTGACTTGAAATAACATAAGGTCCTAACCAATTTACTTTCATTAAATCACATCAAGAAAGTTGTATCAATCTGTTCTTGTGAATATGTGGATGATTTCACCAAACATCATGCCTGAAATAATACTGAGTCCTAAATTAAATAGGACTTGACTAGTTATTGCACTAAAGTGATGATTTGTGGTCTGTCTTAACATAGACAGTTTGAAATTGCCATAATTATGACCATGTTAGTGTCATTACTCAATATTTTCTAGGTGTTTGAATATAGGTGCAATTTGTTCCACATATGTCAGATGATTTGGAGGAATTTCACTAAAGGAGAAAGATCTTTGTCCATATCAAGCTATGTGTAGTCATTAAATTAATTTCATAGACAAATCATTGAAATGCTTGACATCATCTTTGAGCCACACTATTGATTCATTTTTGCATTCATTTTGCTTACAAAACATAATCATTTACGATTTTTGTTATTCAAAGTTGAAGTTCAAATATTATTTACACAAAAGAGTAGTTGTATTTAATAAATACAGATCAATGTAACAAGTAAAGTTGTATGTTAAAGTATTTAATTCCATTTATCATTGTCAGATAACAAATTCACATTTTTTTGTCTGTTTCAAATGCATTCCAGCTTGTAAAAATTATTGAAGTTTTAAATATTATAAATACATGTTATATATTTGTTACAAAACTAGTCTGCTTAATTTTTTAACTATCCTGGTACATTTTTTTTTTACATCATTCATAATTATTCAATGAAATTTTTTAGAAAGACACTTTATCATATAGAATTGTTATTATGTTACTAGATTTAATTGCAAATCCGTTATTGTATTTTGAAAGACAGTTTTTATAGGAACACTTAGAGGAGTGCATGACACAAACTATTAATTCATTTTGAATGAAATCATTATTGTTTACACAAGTGACAGATTGATAGAAGGTCTGTTAGCTGAAACATTGTTATTTTTAGAGTTAGAAAACAGTTTTATATTCTAATTACCACAGTTGAATAAATGTTTTGGAATGGTTTAATCAATCTTATCACTGTATTTAAATTATACTGATAGTATTTTTTTTCATATCAAAATATATACATTATATAAATCTTATTGATGAAAAAAATAAAGAAGAATTCTACCAATATTGTTGTATATTGATTATGTATAGTCTGATTACCGTTTCCAGTTTGCCAATACATTGTACAAGTACAACCAAACTTGTCTATATTGACCAGTCTTGGAAAGTGGTAAAATTGGTCTTTGTTTATAGGTGGTCTCTCAAAAAAGGCAAAAAAAGGCAACTTTTGATTTTTTAATGGTTTGTTTTTTATGGTTTGGCAATACAAAATTGTTCAAAAAGGAAGTCTTGTCTGTCAGATTTTCAACATGTGGTTTTTACATACAGGTACATCTGTACTTTTTTAACAGGTTTTTTTTCTGTGAAGAGGAGCAAGAATTGTGTATTTTATGGCTGAGGTAGTTTACAGAAGAATGGTGTTCAGTAAGTCTCAGTATCAGAAAGCTGTTCAACTACAGACACAATGTAGATTAAGCTGGTAACCAAACTGACTTCACACCTTAACATTAGAATACTTGTAGCTCCAGTTTTTATTTTTAAATAAGCTTAAATAAATTTAATGGTAAGTGTTTACATTGAGGTTTATGTAGAGTGTTTCATTTATTTGGTCCAATGAAAAAAGATGCAGCTTAGCTGATAAGAAATTAGCAAGGCACCATCTTGGTGCTATTGATCCACTAGGTTTGTTGAGCAACATACAAGTCAGCACCACTAGGAACATGTTGTAAAGCAGTGAAATCAGCCCATTAAGAAGGTCACAATTGACTGTGGAAAATAGTGTTTAACTTTGAACAAAAATACATCAATTAAAACCAATAACTATTCGGTGATGCCAACCTGCTCAGGCTTCAGCTGACTATGTCACAAGTCCCAGTTTCTAGTGGGGCTCTAGAAAAAGAGTGTTTGGCTGTGTACCAATATACATAATTATCTATAGAAAAACAAGAGCCGGTTGAACCGGGTGATGCTCCCCGAATAGGTTTTGGACACAGGAAGGTATACCTCTTGTTGTGTCAGAGTTATGTCACAGACAAAGTTCAAAGTGTAAAAACAACCCAAATATTGTGCACGACACATTGTCTAAATATGGTGATCATTTTTGTGAAATAGTTGTAAAATCCGATTTCAAATAACAAAGTTATGCGCCTGACATTATTTTGCTGCAAGGTCATGCTGTGACCTTGACCTTCAACGTAGTGACCTAAATGTTGCATGCGACACGTCAATTCAATATGGTGATCATCTCTGTGAAATAGTTGTTAAATCTGACTTCCAGTAACAAAGTTATGGGCCGGACACGATTTTGCTGCAAGGTCATACCGTGACCTTGACCTTCAAGGTAGCGACCCAAATGTTGCGCGCGACACAATGTCTCATTGTGGTGATCATTTCTGTGAAATAGTTGTAAAATCCGACTTCAAATAATGAAGTTATGTGCCGGACACAATTTTGCTTCATTGTCATGCTGTGACCTTGACCTTCAAGGTAGCGAGCCAAATGTTGCGCATGACACGCCATTTAAATATGGTCATCATTTCGGTAAAATAGTTTAAAAATCTGACTTCAAATAAGGAAGTTATGGGCCGGACACGATTTTGCTGCAAGGTCATGCTGTGACCTTGACCTTCAAGGAAGCGACCCACATGTTGCACGCGACACGTCGTCTTAATATGGTGATCATTTCTGTGAAATATTTTTAAAATCCGACTTCAAATAATGAAGTTATGGACCGGACACGATTTTGCTGCAAGGTCATACCGTGACCTTGACCTTCAAGGTAGCGACCCAAATGTTGCGCGCGACACGTCGTCTCAATATGGTGATCATTTCTGTGAAATATTTTTAAAATCCAACTTCAAATAATGAAGTTATGGACCGGACACGATTTTGCTGCAAGGTCATACCGTGACCTTGACCTTCAAGGTAGCGACCCAAATGTTGCGCGCGACACGTCGTCTCAATATGGTGATCATTTCTGTGAAATATTTTTAAAATCCAACTTCAAATAATGAAGTTATGGACCGGACACGATTTTGCTGCAAGGTCATGCTGTGACCTTGACCTTCAAGGTAGCGACCCAAATGTTGCGCGCGACACGTCGTCTCAATATGGTGATCATTTCTGTGAAATATTTTTAAAATCCAACTTCATATAATGAAGTTATGGACCGGACACGATTTTGCTGCAAGGTCATGCTGTGACCTTGACCTTCAAGGAAGCGACCCAAATGTTGCGCGCGACACGTCGTCTCAATATGGTGATCATTTCTGTGAAATAATTTTAAAATCCGACTTCAAATAACAAAGTTATGGGCCGGACACGAATTCGGGACGTACGTACGGACTGACGGACTGACGGACGGACGGACAACCCGACGACTATATGCTCCCCCGAAATTTTTCGGGGAGCATAAAAACCCATCTCACTAGACTCTTTAAGAGACACCCATTACATGGGGGACCTTGTTGATTGTTAAAATGCCATTATTTGCTCTAGAAAACAAGGTGTCTAGTTTGGCAAGGACATACTGATAGCCACTTAAAGTGTCCCTATAGAAGAAATACTAGCACAGGATAATTCCTATCCTGGCAAGCTTATGCCAATCTTTTTACAAGATCCAGAGCTTTTTATGTTTATATTGTATATTGCTGTGTCAGCTTTCAAAATTGTGCTTTATTTGAAAATTCAGTTCATCTTTTCAAGTCTTGGTTGCGAAAATAAACAGTGTAACCAATATAAACAACAAAATTTTTGTTGACCCTGATACAACAGCCATCCCCTACTGGTGTATTTTGCTATTATATATGAGGCTCTGAGTTTTGTATTGGAACAAGGACAAAGTAGGATAAGGTGTGGCTGGGCACAAAAATAAATACAATGTAGACAAATAAGCAGTGAGTATATGTTTATTGCACAACCCTTTTACTTTTTGGTACAAAAATATATATTTGAAGAAACAGAAGCTAAATATAGTGAATTAACAAACTTGTGTCATCTAATTTTTCTAGCATAAAAAATCCAACAAAACAAATTTCAAGTACCACTCTTAAAGGACAATATCTCTATAATTCCAGATACCAATCTTTTAAATAGCAATTTCCTATTCTTTATATTAAAGCTAGATACCAGTCTATAAACAAAATGTTCTCTATGAATACCAGGTACCAGTCTGTTGAATGACAAATGCTCTATAAATGCACAATTTTCTTCAGGAATACCAAGTACCTGTTTTAAATCCCTGTCTTTTAACGATGCCAATGCCTGAAAATATACCAGGTACCAGTCTGTTTATAAATCCTGTATAAATGCAAAATTTCTTTATTAGTGCCAGGCACCATACTTTATAATGACAATTCCTCTATAAATACCAGGTACCAGTCTTTTAAATGACAATATCTCTATGAATTATACAAGGTACCAAACTTTTAAATGACAATTAGTCTGCAAGTATCCAGGCACCAGTCTTTATAATTACAATTATTCTATAAATTGTACCAGGTACCAATCTTTTTAATGACAATTTCAATCTGTTACAAAAGCTTCCTTCAAACATGACATATTTATTGCAAGCTTTCTTGGAACTTTTAAGACATATTGAGAAAATGGCTAGTGATTAACAAAATAATCTTTATAATTTATGCAAGCAACTTTTTTATTTATTTACTAAACTACTTGGATTTCTCTAACATAAAATGGAAAAAGTATCCTATAAACATAATTATACATATGTATTTTACAACCTTGTTTAAAAATAAAACTTCAATTCAATATTTTACTGAAAGATGATTTTTTAAATATTTAACTTTCAGATGCCACCAAAATGAGCAAACACAGTTTATTAGGATAAACCAGAGAAGTTATGCACTTTTATGGAGAAAAAAAATCCAAGAATATTAATCTGTTGGTTAATGAAAGGTTATTCAGCTATTTTTAGCAATCTAAATACATGTAATTCATACAGTTTTGTTAAAAGTACAATATCATGCCAGGATGCTAATGACCAGACTGACCAAAGATATCAAAAGGAAATTTGTTACACTCTTAACCGACTCACATCAAAACTGGTTAACTTATACTGCCAGTTACTGCACTTTCATGAACTGTTCTAAATTCAAATAGTGCAAATTCATTATAAAATTTTAGCAGGTTAAGTAAATTGTTGAAGCAGGGGTATATGTCTTTCTAAATGATAACATTGAATCTTTGAGTCATGTCAGTTTAAAAACAGTAGAAATTTGTCTATAGCACATACAACTAAACATACTACAGTAAAACATTGGTCCCTTCTTTAATATCTTAATTCATATAAAAAGTTCTATTATGCATACACATGTATTTACAGAACACAGAGCTCTTTTTGCACACAAAAATAAGTATAAACTAATCTGCAGGTGAACAAAAAGAACTAATTCTATTTCTATTAAAAGGTTCATAACTTTTTCTAAAAATCTAATATCGGCAAAAATCTATAATACAATCACAATAACACAACTAACATAAAGTTTACACAATTTTCATGATAATTACCTTTTCCAGGCATCACAATACAATCTCAGCTTACAAGCAACGCATTGATGCTTTATTTGATACAATTTAATTTTACTATCAAACAAGAGCTCCACATGCGGTGATAACGCATATCTTTTAAAATAATCACTTTTAACAAAAATTCTAAGTAACAAAAACGGGTATAAATCCAAAAAATAGCTTCAGAATTATGCTATTGTCTTACAACTGCCTCATGTCATAATAAGCAAGTATCAAAGTTTCATATTGAAAGCTTTAAAATTATATTAGTAATGGCTTAAATTTAAGTATTAAGAATGACAATGATGACGATGGCAACAATGATGACGCCATAGCGATCATACTAGCTCGACTTTATCTTCCAAACTGACAAGCTAACTAGCCAAACATATTACATTACAACCTGGAACAAACTGAACACACTGGATTTTGAAATACATAAAATATCAACAAAGCAAAATTATCTTTTGTATACAGTAATAACTCTACGAAAGACAACAAGAGCTGTCAGTAGGACAGCAACGCTCGACTATTCTTAGTGCTTGACAGTAAAAAAATATGCTTGATACAGTTATCTCCTCCTGTTTACAGGTTGGGGTCATGATGGTGAACAAGTGTGCAAAGTTTCAAAGCCATATGTCAATGGACTTTGAAAATATTTGAACTATTACAAAAACTTTAACGTAAATTCTAAGTCGAAAAAAGGGCATAATTCTGTCAAAATGCTTGATAGAGTTACCTCCTCCTGTCTACAGGTTGGGGTTATGATGGTGAACAAGTGTGCAAAGTTTCAAAGCCATATGTAAATGGACTTTGAAAATATTTGAACTATTACAAAAACTTTAACGTAAATTCTAAGTCCAAAAAGGGGCATAATTCTGTCAAAATGCTTGATAGAGTTACCTCCTCCTGTCTACAGGTTGGGGTTATGATGGTAAACAAGTGTGCAAAGTTTCAAAGCCATATGTCAATGGACTTTGAAAATATTTGAACTATTACAAAAACTTTAACATAAATTCTAAGTTGAAAAAGGGGCATAATTCTGTCAAAATGCTTGATAGAGTTACCTCCTCCTGTCTACAGGTTGGGGTCATGATGGTGAACAAGTGTGCAAAGTTTCAAAGCCATATGTCAATGGACTTTGAAAATATTTGAACTATTACAAAAACTTTAACATAAGTGGTTACGCCGACGCGGACGCTCGGGTGACTACAATAGCTCTACTTATTCTTATCAAATAGTCGAGCTAAAAATTGTGTAAAAAAAAGATTACAACCTTGAAACGTGTACTGTACATTGTATTGCCTACAGAAAATAAAACTAAGCACCGCATGATCTACAATTCTAATTCCTATCACCTAGCAAGCCGTCAAACAGAAAAATTAAAATATTATGGAAGAAAAATCAACAACACAAAAACCCTCATCGCTTCTTGATAAAATGAAAAACTGAAAAATCAAAATTGTGGCATGAAATTTTGCGATTTTGCCAAAATGGACATTTCCATGGATTATTGAATATGTAGTTTGTCTGTTATTGAAAAATTGTAAATTGTAAAATGCAAACATAACCTTACAGTAGATGCAATAAATTTTATCAGATCTTAAATTCATGGATTGACCTATTCACACATAATGATTGTACAGTATTGTAAATGCAAGCTCAATGTATTTTCATCATTTATTTTTTAAACTTAAATGCATTTAACCACAATCAAAACATGTTTCAGTTTATAATCTCTACCAGTCCCTATCAATCTACCCTTTTTAAATGAACAGCACTAAAATATGATTTTTTACACAAAAAAAAAGCTCTACCCTTTTCACATAAAAAACAAAAAAAAGCATCAATTAACAAACTAAAATACTATATTTTCTACCTGTGGAGTAACTCAAAACAACCTTTTTCAACATATTATGGTCACAATTGCTTACAATACAAGTAATTTAATATATCATGGCTAGCAAATAAATAAGTAGCACTTGTAAAACTATATCACATTTACGAATAGCAGTTAATAAACATAATATCAAGAATACATCAGCAATAATTAAAAACAAAGGCAATTTTTTTAAGCATTTACAACATCAAGTTGGTTGTGGAAGCTTTACACCACCAGATCTCTGCTGTGTAGGCTTTTCCTTCTTTTTGAAAATATTTCCTTTTCCTTTCACATTCACTTCAGTACTTATATCTAATTGGTTGGCTAGTTTCAAATTTATTGCCTCTGATTGGCTAATCTCATCTTTAAGAGACATGGGTTTTGATTGGTCAGCTTCCGGAGCCATGAAGTCACATTCAGCCAATGAATCTGTAGGGGAGGGAACTGTTACTACATTTGAAGCACCATTTGCATTTACTTCCCTATAAAAAGACAAAGTTGCATAACAATATGTACAGAAAATAAGATTTGTAATTTACACGATAATGTGTGTGATTTCCACATACTAAGATCACTTAAAAAAAAGAAAAAGAATTAGGAGATATATTTGTTTGTTTGATTGTGTTTTACGTCACATCGACACAGTATAGGTCATATCGCGACGTTCCAGCTTTACTGGTGGAGGAAGACCTCAGGTGCCCCTCCGTGCATTATTTCAGGCACGAACGGGCACCTGAGTAGAACCACCGACGTTCCGTAAGCTAGCTGGATAACTTCCTCACATGAAAGAATCCAAAGTCCCTGTTGGGATTCAAACCCACAGCGGTGAGGGGCAAGTGGTTTGAAGTCAACGACCTTAACCACTCCGCAACAGACGCCCCTAGGAGATATATGAAAGCATAGACAAGATTTATTTGAGACAGTTCCTATCAGGCACTTTTTGATGTCACATGTCATATTCTAGTTCACTGTGCAGTCTCAGACTTCTACAATAATGTTAACATCTATGTGTTCTTGGTGACTAAAACTCTCTTAAAAAAACATTACTTTTCCATAAAATGCTAAATTTGAAGCCCTTGCCTACCAGTGTTTTGGTTACAAGCTCAAGTCAGGTCGGGTAATTGTGATCAAACATTGCATTTAGTGATTCAAAAAGGGAAGGTAACATTTATTAACTAAGTTGTAACATATCTGCTATATGAAAGCTCTAAATTTACCGGAGTGCCCTTGACAGCATTTCTACTTGGGATTTAAACAGACTCAATTCTTCACGCAATAATTCCATTTCTGTATCTTTGGCGTGAATTTCTTTCTTGAGGTTATACACAGCATCTTCCAGCTCATCACAATATGCCTGCAAACATTTATATGATACATGTATCTAACAACTAACAAAAGGATAATCATTGTGTTTGTATAAATGTGTATGTACACAAGCATTGGATTTCATTGTAACCCAATAAGAAGGTGTGAGTAAAATACATCAATGATGTCTTCATTCAGCTGTCATGACAAACTTAAACTTTAACCTGCAGCTGAATTTGTGTAATGGATTTACCATGCTTTACTTTAAAACAATTCATTCAATGTGTAGGAGATATCAGTATATAAAACAAGAATGTGTTTGGTAAACACAAACAATTTTTGTATTTTCTGATCGGAGATCAGGAAATACAAACCTGACATTCAATCTCTGACACAGCGGTTAAGACTAACCTAACAACAAGTAGTTCTCAAAGCAGCATAAAACTAGCGATGTAAAAAAAAGAAATATTTTTATTTTGTTACAAGTATCCAGTTAAATAATTAATTGTACAATTATTACCCTGCTTTCCTCTACACTGTCATGAGGTCCTGGCGGGTCCCGAAAACAGAAAAATTCCTGAACTGGAATACTGTAAATGTAACAAGTTTCATATTCTTAACATTTGAATTTTCTTATATATTGATAAAACTCTACTTGAAAAAGAATTTAGAAATAAAGGGTACGGTAGCATTAGGTAGTGTCACATCCAGATTTGAAAAGGGGCCAAATTTTGTTAAAATCCAAGACGAAAATCAATGGACCCTTGCCTGGAAATGATAGACTTTAACAAGTGTTTAAAGTAAAAATGTGTGATGGTACAAAATACTTTAAAGTGACATTATGCCAATCCAATGGTATACAATGAGTGAACGGGTGAATATCAAAGTAAGTTTTCATTTTGCCATAATTCCTTTTTATTTAATAATTAAGTTCGCATAAACACTAAATAATGCAGAGATCCCAACGAAATTTCTGTAAATATCTATTAGAATTTACATGTAACCCTTAGTTTATAAAAAGAGTGGGGCAGTCTTTTTAGATTTTAGGCAGATTTAAAATTTTATTCATTTTCCAATATCAACTGTTGGTCAAACACCATTTTGTCAGTTAATCTTTTAAAATATAAAGTCAATTCAGCTCAACTTGACTATGAAAGAACTAACCAAATTAAAATTGATAAATATTTTTAGAGCTTTGCCAGATCCCCAGCCTGGTAATTTTATCATGTAATGCTTAAAGCAGCAAGAGTCCTGACAACAAAACAGTTTCAAAAATTCAAACATTAGAAATGAATTAATTTAAACAATCAATGCATTTATGTATAAATATTTACAATCCAGTTCTTGCTTAACACATTACTGGTACATTGTATATGGGAAATTGGGCAGAACTTTTGTTAGTAACCTCATAATGGCTATTTTTGTTTATATTATTTTGATAAATTTAAGTAAATTTACTAAACGTGGATTGCAAATGCCTTACTGGTCGGAGACCATCAACCGGACACTTTTGGAACATTTTTCTGTATAGATTTCATAATTTTTAACCTAGAGACCAAAACAATTGACAAAGTTCAGCTAGGTTCTTCTCCTAACTAACAAACTAGTTTGTTTATTTCTGATTGTATTGACACTTATATCTGAGGCTCGACAAGGAGGGTATCAAAATTACCTAAATTGTCTACACTACAGTACCATGTGTCCGGACAGATATGTACATGATGTGATTTAATTCAGATAAAAGCTTGGGTGTTTTGATTTTTGATTTGTAACATGATATACAATATGTCAGCAACAAATGCTGAAGTTTTGGATATTCTATTATTCACTCTGCAAATGATTATAGCTGGCATATGAGGTCAGGCATTGCTTTCTTGACCCCCCGAATTTCAACGTCAACATTCTTGAAATATTACCATTTACGGAGGTTGAAATAAATTTATTTACTTATTTTTAAAAGAAACATGCACTTATTGTTGATAAAAAAGTGACTGACAATTACTGAACAAAGAAAATACTAAATTAAGCATTTTCGAGGCCGTCCGGGTTTGGTGGTTGTCCGGTTTTGGTGGTCCCCAACCAGTACACAGACTAAAATTGTTTTCTTTCTTTAACTGACAATATAACATTTAAAACACTTAATAATGTAGTTTTTCATTAGAAAAAAGCATATAAATCTGGTAGTGTGTTGGTTTAACCTAAAAAACGAAGTTATAAAAGATGCCTTACCAATTGCATAGATCTGAATGGCAAAGAAGACTGTCTATAAACGCTTGGAGTCCTAACATTCTATCTTCTATAAAATCTTTCTCGTAATTGTTCTTGAACCAACGTTTTGGAGGTAGTTTTAGTCTGAACATTGGGAACAAAATCTTCAGCTGGCAAAAGACAAGGACATCTTGTTTATATGTAAATTATAGATTTCAACTCTGTCCCTATTGCATTTATAGGATGGAAATGCTCAGCTTTGAATTTGGAATTGTACAATATTACTTTAAGTTTCCATACACTAACAGAATAGTGATAATATGGCAACTTTCCAGCTTTAATGGTGGGAGAAGACCATTGCCGTTTATAAATTATTTTACAAATTGGCACCTTAGTAGAACCTTCATGATCTTCTGTAAGCCAGCTGGTTTATATTAAGCTTCCACATATGAAAGAATTCATAGTGCCTGTCACATGGCTATGAAAGACACTCTTAGCATTAAAGCCAAAAAAACCTTGTGTCATGATTCTGTAACTGTTTTAGCCTGCTCTAAATAACTCAAAATTTTTATTCTTTATTGGTAATAAAAAAATATGTGTATATAACTTAGAAATGACAATTATGACCAAACCTTCTGCTGTAGTTGGACAAAATCTGTATAGCGACGAAACACAAACCAGTTATCACTGGTGCCTTTATGTACATGTAGTTTAAACACCTGTAATGTGGTCAAAAAATTGGCTGATTAAAATGAGCAAAATATTTAATGAAGAAAATCAGACATGTGCTTTGTATAACATTATTGCATAATAGTTCTAATGATACTAATCATTAACAATCATCACAGTTCAAATAATATTTAATCATGAACTATCAAATAATAGTTTGGACTAATTTGAAAAAATAAAATATACATTGGGATTAATCAAATAGTTATTAAGAGACAGGAGCAAATCCATTGCATTATATAGTCATGATTAAGGGCTTTGATAATTCTGAGGACCTTAGCTGTAGTACTAAACTGTCCAAGGTGACAAGTCTGAAGTCTAATTATAAAGGCACAAAATGTTGCCAGCAGTGGTCCACTGAGATGAACTTAGTCAACTCACAAGTTCTAACACCAGAACAAAACTGTCTGTTGCTTTAAGACATACCTTAGGGAAGAGACAGACTTTAACTCTGCCACTGCAGTTTTGATAATTAGACACATTCAATTCAACGATACATTGGAAGGAATATCAAAGAAGACTTGATTTGTATGTTTTAGTTATAATTATGCTTAAATATTTCCCTCCTCTTTTTTAACCAGACTGATTTTGAAGTCTTAAATATTCATGGATAAGATCTACATCTAATTAAATCCTAAGATACATTCTTAATGTCATTCTGCATATTATCTTAATGGATTAATTTTTAAAACTTACTGTAAATTTAGCTCTTTGTTCCATAACTTCATACCCAATTAAAGGCACTTTCACATCTAGTGGATCTACAAAACTGACTCTTTTCTTTCTACGTTCTACAAATTCACTATTATCAGCACTTCTAGAATTGTTAGTACTTCCAGTACCTTGACGAGTTACAGGTGAAAATCCTACAGCACCAGCACATGTATCTAAATTAATATCTCCCCTAATAGGGGTACTAGTTGTAGGAAAGGATTCCATTTCTGTTACTCTCACTGTATTATCTTTTTGAGCAATTTTTGGAGTTGTCTGTTCCTGACTGGATATTAGCGGAGTTTCCTCCCCTGAGGAGCTTAAAGATGTATGGTATTCTGACAGGGATAGTTTTGGCTCATTCCTATGTGGACTTTTATTTGCTGATGTATTTCTTGAATGAACTTCCCCATTGACTGATCTCGGAACATCCCTGTAAAAGAGCATGAATATTTTATATCATTTCAATTTGTGATAAATGATTTTTATCTTGTGCCAACATTATTTTTTCATGGCAGGAAGCAATATCAACAAAGATTACATAAGCTATATTTAGAATCTACCTAGGTGTCCTTAAAATAGTGCACAAGTATAGAGTTGGTCAATAATAAGCTTATGTAACTTTAATGTGTCTGAAATCTAACTTAAAAACCTTGACAGTTAAAGTCAACCTGACAAAATATTCTGTTCATTTTTGAAAAACAGCTTTAGAATTACCGGTAGTGCTACAGACTTTTCACAGCTACATACTGAATAAAACTATGTATTAAAACTAAGTGACCCCCAAGACATAGCCCTGGAGCAGGAGCCATTTTTGAACAAAATTAATTGTTAATGTTGAAGTTTGTTGAAGACCACAAGATGATGCATCATGCCAAATATCTAAGCACTGGGCATTTTAGTTCTTGAGAAAAGGCTTTTAAAGATTTCATTATTAAAGTCTATTTTTAGCTCCTGTGACCTACTTATGAATCAGACTGGACCCATTTATATTACTTTTGTAGAAGACTACCTAAGGATCAGTCCTGTGAAGTTTGGTCAATATCCCTCTTGAAAGAGGTTTAGGAAATGTTGTTTTAAAAGGAATTGGATAACAAACTCAAGATCTGAGTGTTGTGTGCTCAGGTGAGCTAATAAATAGAGGATATTGAATGAGTATAGGTTTAATACTGAATTTATTGAACAAGTTTAATATAAATATATTATGTGAGTCACTGGCAAGTAAAAAATGATTTTATTCAACGAGTTCAATAAATTCAGTTATATATGAACCTACACGAATATAATATTCTATTTATCACATACCTAAAATAAAGACTGATTAAAGTGCAAAAGAATTATTTTTTATTGATGCTTACATTTAATGCATCTTTACACGATGTTTGTATAACGCAAATGACATCACATAAAACTAGAACTATCACTAAATGTGATTAATACCCCCTGCAAGACTGCTTCGGAAATGAGGATGTTACTAGTAACAGAATACCTTGTAAAGAATTGAAACAGAGTTATGGTTGTGGGCAATTAAAGATAGTTGTGGTTCTTGTATGTTGCATTTCCTTTCAATGTGGTTGGCCATTGATGAAGTTTTATTGGATTACTCTGTAAGAAGTCCAGAAAGACAAGGAAAAGGAACAAAGGGCAATAACTCTATAAATACTGAAGATTGAGTTATGGCTATTGTACACTGCACTTCCTTTCATTGCGCTTGACCATTGTATGAAGTTGTATTGAATTCCAACTACTAGTTTTCAAGTTATGCACTGGACAAAAAAGTAACAAAAGCAATAACTGTAATTAGTCCAAATAGAGTTATTGTTCTTGTGCACTGCACTTCATCTCACTGCCCTTGACCATTGTATAAAGTTTCATTGAATTCCAACCATTAATTTTCAAGTTATGCACTGGACAATAAAAAGTAACAAAGGGCAAAAACTTTTAAATTAGTCAAAAAAGAGTTATGCTTTCTGTGCACTGCACTTCCTCTCAATATACTTGACCATAGTATGAAATAGTTTTGAATTCCAACTAGTAGTTTTCAAGTTATGCTCTGGACAAGAAAAAAGCAATGGAAAAGTAACAAAGGGCAATAACTCTATAATTACTCTGGACAGAGTTATAGTTCTTGTGCTTGACCATTGTATGAAGTTGTTTTGAATTCCAACCAGTAGTTTTCAAGTTATGCTCTGGACAAGGAAAAGTAACAAAGGGCAGTAACTCTGTAATTAGTCAAAATGGAGTTATGGTTCTTGTGCACTGCACTTCCTCTTATTGTGCTTGACCATTGTATGAAGTTGTTTTAAATTCCAACCAGTATGTTTTAAGTTATGCTCCAGACAAGGAAAAGTATCAAAGGGCAATAACTCTGTAATTTGTCAAAATGGAGTTATAATTCTTGTGCACTGCATTTCCTCTTAATGTGCTTGACAACTGCATGAAGTTGTATTGAATTCCAACCGGTATTTTTAAAGTTATGCTCCAGACAAGGAAAAGTAACAAAGGGCAATAACTCTGTCATAAGTCAAGATGGAGTTATGGTTCTCATGCACTGCACTTCCTCTCAATGTGCTTGACCATTGTATGAAGTTATATTGAATTCCAACTAGTAGTCTTCAAGTTATGCTCCGGACAATAAAAGCAATTGAAAAGTAACAAAGGGCAATAACTGTGTAATTACTAGTCAAAATGGAGTTATGGTTCTTGTGCACTGCACTTCCCTTTATTGTGCTTGGCCATTGTATGAAGTTGTTTTGAATTCCAACCAGTAGTTTTCAAGTTATGCTCCGGACAAGGAAAAGTAACAAAGGGCAGTAACTCTGTAATTAGTCAAAATGGAGTTATGGTTCTTGTACACTGCTCTTCCTCTCAATGTGCTTGACCATTGAATGAAGTTATATTGAATTCCAACAATTAGTCTTCAAGTTTGAGTCCGGACAAAAGAAAGCAATGGAAAAATAACAAAGGGCAATAACTCTGTAATTACTTTAGATAGAGTTATGGTTCTTGTGCAATGCACTTCCCCTTATTGTGCTTGACAATTGTATGAAGTTGTTTTAGAGTTTCAACCAGTAGTTTTCAATATATGCTCCGGACAAGGAAAAGTAACAAAGGGCAGTAACTCTGTAATTAGTCAAAATGGAGTTATGGTTCTTGTACACTGCACTTCCTCCCAATGTGCTTGACCATTGTATGAAGTTATATTGAATTCCAACAATAAGTCTTCAAGTTTGAGTCCGGACAAAAGAAAGCAATGGAAAAATAACAAAGGGCAATAACTCTGTAATTACTTTAGATAGAGTTATGGTTCTTGTGCACTGCACTTCCCCTTATTGTGCTTGACAATTGTATGAAGTTGTTTTAGAGTTTCAACCAGTTTTTTTCAAGTTATGCTCCGGACAAGGAAAAGTAACAAAGGGCAGTAACTCTGTAATTAGTCAAAATGGAGTTATGGTTCTTGTACACTGCACTTCCTCTCAATGTGCTTGACCATTGTATGAAGTTATATTGAATTCCAACTATTAGTCTTCAAGTTATAGTCCGGACAAAAGAAAGCAATGGAAAAATAACAAAGGGCAATAACTCTGTAATTACTTTAGATAGAGTTATGGTTCTTGTGCATTGCACTTCCCCTTATTGTGCTTGACAATTGTATGAAGTTGTTTCGAGTTTCAACCAGTAGTTTTCAAGTTATGCTCCGGACAAGGAAAAGTAGCAAAGGGCAATAACTCTGTAATTAGTCAAGATGGAGTTATGGTTCTTGTGCACTGCACTTCCTCTCAATGTGCTTGACCATTGTATGAAGTTATATTGAATTCCAACCATTAGTCTTCAAGTTATGCTCCGGACAAGGAAAATGCAACGGACCGCTGGACCGACCGACCAACCGACCGACCACCGGGTGACTCCTATATACCCCCCCAAACTTCGTTTTTGGGGGTATAAATATATGCACAGCCGTGCAATACCATTTTGAAGGAGCTGCAAAATCAGCCCAGGTATGTGATAAAAAACAATTCTGTATTTTCTTATGTTCATTAATGACACTATAGTTTCCACTTTTTGTTGCTCTTTCATTATTACCTTGTGTCACCATTTGACTCAGAATGCAGTAAGGCATGTTCATTTTCGCATTCATCAAGTTGTGAAGCCATTTTGTTGTTAATTTAAGTTATCCCATCTCTTTAACAGTTAGTGATCTGGAATAAATATTTTGAGAAAATTAGTATAAATTTATATATTTTCACAACAGATAAAGCAATATGTGTGCATGTCAATCCATAACAGGAGTTTTTTTCACAAGGGGAAGGTGCCCTTCCCTTAAATTTCGGGGAAAATAGCATGGTATGTAGCAAAAGGGAAGAGAAAACTTGATGTAGTTAGAATTTTAGCTAAAAACTTTAATATTTTGAAAACATTTCCAGCGGGGAAGAAGCCCTTAGTCAGCTAAGCCAATAAACAGATAAGCCTTTGGAGGACTTTGCTCATCTTGCCTTCATCAAGCTCACCACTTGTCGGTAGATTTTAATCACTATTGTTTGGGGGCAATTTACTAGCTTCAGGACTAGCATCCCCTATAATTTCAATATTTGACCATAATAAGGATGTACACAGTTACAATTAATCATTGTCTATATGCAAACTTGGGCAATCCGGTCAACTTGTCCCGTGGTCAACTCGTCCTGTGGTCAACTCGTCATCTTTTTGGTCAACTCTTCCCCTACTTTTAGTCAACTTGTCCTCAAAGAGTCAACTCGTCCCTTATATGGTCAACTCATCCTTTACTTCTGATCAACTTGTCACTATTATGTTATAAATCAATGTCTTTAAATAGTACTTTTATGTAAAATCTTAATGAATTTGATTGAAATCGAATTATTAATAAAATAACGTCTTTTTTATGTGCATTTTAATGTTCTTTATCTAAGCGCACATGCTTAGCTTTGATGTAAAACTACAAAGACAGGTAAGTTTGCAAACATTCAATCAAGTACAAATTGAATGTTTAATTTATTGGAGTTTTAATGATAATTAAAACTAAAATTTTGCCCATCTCTTTGATTTTTACCGCATCCCTGAATGGATTAAAGACTGACGACTGATTAACAGAAATTAGAAGTGCTAAAAACTTATTAAAACAACAATATTTGCAGTGGATATTAACTGATTGAAAACATTAAGCGATAAAGTAATTACAAATATCCAATTACCATTTAATAATTAGTAAAGATTAATATTGAATTTTGATAAATAAATCTTTACAGGAGCTGTAATAAACCGAGGTCGAGAATTTCTTGTATTATACAAGTCATCGTATTTAATGTATTAATTGTATTTAATCAACATTTTTTCATATATTTGACCATACACCATCAAAAACAAATTCAACATTTGGAGAATAAAAACTTATAACAACCTTTGGCACGATTTTCACGCAATTTGTATAATTTCAATTAAAAGACATGCATTCTTTAAATATATAAATACGTATCCAACCACATTATTATGTTGTTAATCCTATTATCAAATTACTAGGTGTTTAATTTGGTAACAAAGGGCATGTGTCATGATATATTTAATTAACAACTACATTAAAATAATATAAAATGTTTGATTGTTTTGTTAAATGAAAAAGCCAAAAAATATCAAATAATTTTAAACCGTCTGGTTTACTTACAATAAAAAATATTTCACTTATCCTGAAATAATCTTGACAAAAAAGACATACTGTATGATATTTCATCATTGCATATGAAACATGTTTTAATACATAAAATGTTATTGCTATTGATCGTCTTCGAGTTTGTTTGTTTTGATTTTTTGTTGTTTGTAATTTAATAAATAACCAAGTTGTCAGATAATGCATATATATATACTTGTTATTGCATAAAGACCTCTAAATAACCATTTTCGCATATGAAAAGTGTAAAAAAATGTCCAATTCAATTTTTTATATAAAGTTTTTTAAAAGTCTACTGGTTGGGGAGATAACTTCGGCTGGTTGATAAACTCAGCTTTTTATAATTAAATCGAGTTATCGGAATTTTTAATCTAATCAAGCTCACCATCTCGTACTATCGCTGGAATTCGACAATATCTGGAAATTTTGTCAAGTTTGGTAAGATATTTAAAAAATAACACAGACTTTTACCTGTTTGTTTACAAAACATGCCTATAAAAAGTACGGGAATCTCATTGTTGTGCGCATGTGCAGTAGATGCTCATGTTGAGGCCTGCACATGGGTACTTTTATATATTGACCGACTACCGGTAAAGCAGACGACGTTTACGTAAACATTTTGTAGATGAAATTCAGACTCACTTTTGTCTTGCTAACTCAGAAAAAAGGCTTATTACACAATTGTAATCTTTAAGTGGAATGGATTGAAAGACTGATGTTAAATGCTCCTTTTATATGTTAATGTGTAGGTTGAATACCACTTAATTAATTTCTTCTTCACTCTGTTAAGCTAAGCAAAAAGAAATTTGAATCACTAATTCTTTAACTACATATTTGGTTATACGTTAATAAATGGGAATGCATGTGTTTTTACGTAAAAATGATTTATATGTTACATAGTATGTTGCATATAAATATCGCACGTTATTATAGATTTTAAGATATTCATTATACTAACGTAATGCTCAACAATTTTGGTAACAAATATTTTTTATTTGACATAAATGAACAGCAAAGAAATAATAAAATGTCTAAACATGTTATTTTACGTTTTAACTTACTCATTTAAGAAGAAAAACAAAGAGCCAGAATTATCTACTCGCGCGCGTTAAAAATATCATTTTTACGTACCTCTTCCAGGGCCTCTCAAAATTACCCGTTATGTTTCTAAATATAACTTTTATGGTGATACCGGAAAATCGAAGAGCTGAAGTTTATTATGGTGCAAGATTCATCAAAATACGTAAACAAATAAATGAAATATGCCCCCAAAACACTGATTTTCGGCCGAGTTTATCTCCCAAACCAGTACTGTATAATAATTTATGAAATATATGAAAAACAAATAATAATAAAATATAGGGGACGAGTTGACCAAAAAGGTGACGAGTTGACCACAAGACGAGTTGACCACGGGACGAGTTGACTCTGAATCCAAACTTGGTATGAATATCCGAACTTGATTCTATCCGAATTATTAATTAGTATATAATTTGACAAATGTTAGATGTAGTAGTTCTTGTTTGTCAACAACAACTTTTTAAAAACACATTAATCTATTCGTTCTCTGCTACTACGGAAATTGAGTTTTAAGAACAATTTAGAAGAATTTACCTGCATTTAATCAGGTGACTTTGATTAATTTTTGACCGGATGTTGATTTTTTCGAGATTTTATTTTGGAACGAATCAAAGATAAAGCGTTGTCAGCTCTGTCCTTACGTTACATATCTCATTCTGGAATATAATATACATGTATAATATAGAATAATACAAATATTCAAGCTGCTCTACTTACGGTATTCATTACGGAAATAAGTGTGCACAAATCCACTAATTAATCTGTCATAACATAAGGAAAGACATAAATTTGTAAAAAAGTTAAGATAAGTATCTATATCTATCAAATTTCTTAAAACCCTGATTTTTACAGACGAATTTTACTTCTGTAATAGCTAGATCTATTACTTAGAAATCCCTATCCCAAAAAGGAACATAACAAACAACAGCGACATTGTTATAGGTATTAAGTAATTGTATTTATCACACACTCGTGCCGATTTTGCGACTCCGTAAATATGGTATAATTGCACGGCCGTGCATATATTTTGACGTGACGTCATTAGCGTTATACAAACATAGTGTAAAGACGCGCTAAATGTTAGCGTTATACTATAGGCGCGTCAATGAAAAATGCCTCTTATTTCACTTTAAACTGTCTTTATTTTGGGTATGTGATAAATAGAATATTAAATTCGTGTTTAAGTTCATTACTGAATTTATTATGGGTATGCGATAAATAGAATATTAAATTCGTGTAAGTTCATTACTGAATTTATTACACTCGTTGAATAAAATAACATTATGCTCGCCAGAGGCTCGCATAATATTTCTATCCAACTCGTGCAATAAATTCAGTATTAAACTTACACTCATTCAATATCCTCTATACATGTAGTTAAATATGTACTTTGAAAATATTTCTTAAAATTTCTGATGCTGCTTTGTATTAGTTATATTATTACTGTAATGATAGGAATTTATTTCATTCATTTGTTAAAAAAACTGTCATTCTAACTTTATGGTATCACGAACTTAAATTACAAATTAAAGTTCGTGATTGTATATGCATGCAGCCATCAAAAAGATTAAGGTCTCAGATTTGCGAGAATAAGTATAACTGTTTAAAGGTCTTAAATACAGGTCTTACACCATACATTAACCTCTACTCATAAAACATAAGCAAAATGGATGATATGGAATGAAATCAAATAAAGTTTATCACCCCACTCGTTCTCTCCCCTAAAAAAAGACAACAATGAATGAAAGAAACAATTTTTTTTTTGAGATCATGACTCATCATAATTTTGAATACATTAAATCTGTATGCTCATATATACAGTCAGGTACGTATATTAACATACGTACCTGAATAACCTGATACAGTTGAGTTCACACATAAGATTACACAAAGTGCACTTAGTGTTCAATATATGTGCACTTCTAGTGCACCTCAATGTGCACCTTATGTGCAATACAAATGTATTTCTTAAACTCACTACAAAAATAAGTCATTTACATTTAGCATCTGTTTTTTCTTAGGATCTTTAAATAAAGAAAGTAAAATAAGTTTGCATAGATTAATTTCACATACACGTTTTTCTATTCCGGCTCGGTTATTATGTTACATATGACACATCGTGCAATTTAAATATTTTGACGTCATATGCCTAGAGCAGAAATATACGTGTAAAATGTTATGGCAACTAATTTAAGCCTGTCATAAATTCTCTTTCTTTTACAGTAACCTTTTCTTTTTTAAGAGTATTATATTCGTAAAGCTTTATAAGAAGCCCGCAAATTAGATCTTTCTCAACTCAATAAATATAGTATTGAACCTACATCATTTGAACAACCCACCTGCAAGAGTAATTAGTTTTAAGATTATGACGTCATTAGATGCTCACGATTACGTCACTAGTGACGTCACATGTAAATATCAATAGTTTCTCGTCCGAAGGAAGTTTGCGTTCTTGGAATATTTCCTTGTGCATTTGCATTCTAGAACACCTTAACAATATTCTAAAACGGTAATTTGCCAATCAGTTAATGAGTTATGACGGAACTATTTCCCGAATCTCCACCGCAAGTGATTGATGGCGTTACTTTGAAATTTCCTGCAAAATTATGGAGGATTGTAAACAGCTGCAGATCGGGAGCTATCTCGTGGGATTTAGACGGAGATTCAATTATTGTGGAAAGAAAGAAATTCGAGGATCAATATTTGAAAACTGGAGCTTTATTCAAGACGTCAAATTTTCAAAGTTTCATTCGACAGCTAAATATCTACGGATTTCGTAAGATTCCAACCAATGGCCCGAAAAATCAACAAGATGGTGCTACTTTTATTTACAAACATGACTTTTTCAGACGTGATCACCCCGATTTTCTATCAGAAGTTGTTAGGAACACGGCAGTTCGGAAAACACAGAGGGAAAATGCTATAAAAGAAGTGGAAGCAAAACATGTAAGATAAGAATTGTTTTGTTTTATCTAGATTTCTGTTTGCTACTGATTTAGAAACCTGTTAAGTGTTTGGTTAGATTTCACATTGCTTTTTGAAAAGAAGTAGATTTTATCTATATTTCTTTTGAATTTTATAGACTGTAGGATCGGCAAAACTCATCAAATTTAAAGCGCACTCACCACTGGTTATTTACTGATCAGCGGAAGTGACCGCTACTGGTACTGTACGGAGAGTTTGTCCCGTTGTTATTCTGTAGAGTAGTCAAACTCAGTGGATAAAGATTTTTTCACGTGAGGAAGACTTTCAAGCTATCCAGCTACAGTAGCATTCGGAAAGGTCTGCCTCGGCTATTATCTATAATACTACTTTTTAGTCCTTATCCGAAGACTGACGGAAAGGGCCGATTAGTTGCGATTGCAGTAGCTTACAGAACGTCGATGGTTGTACTCAGACCTGTGCCCGTTCTAGCCCAATAATTGTTTATTTATACTGTATAGGGTGTACACTGTATACATATTTTGGATATTATCATTAATATTGATAGAATTTTAAGTTCCTGTGATAATTAATCGAACTATTGAGTCTAGTGCCCATTGTGCCTCAGGTATTCCTGGAAAGTCGACTTAATAATGAAAACATCTAAAATTTTCTGAAAATTCAGACGAGATTGTTTGTTTGTTTCATTTTACGTCTTTTCCCAACAGTATTTCAGTCATATAGGCGGGTAGTTTCCTAACCATCTTCCTGGAGAGTTACACCAGTACTAAGACTACCTTCCTCCGTGCTAAACTACCAAAGCATCTCCCGGGGGATCTAACCCACGCCAGAGAGGCCACTGGATTAGAAGTCATCGACTCTAACCCCTCGACCACGGAGGCGGTATAAAAATGTTATTACTGAATCAAGCAAACCTAGCTCTTGTTTGTTGATTTTTGCTATTTACATACATGTAGTTAGGTTTTCAATCCTTTCTCACATGCCAGTATGTTCTGTCAAAGTTAGTAAGCAGTAAGAATATGATACTTTAAAGGGACTACACTGAGGTTTTTGTGACATGATGGGACTGAAAAGATTTTTCCTGATAAATGTACCATTTGATGTAGGTTCAGACCACTTATCTTTGTGCAAAAATTCAGATCATTCGCGCACTTCGGTTTTTTTTCAGAATAATTATTCAAATTGTAAAAAATGACCCAAAATGAAAAGCGTTTAAACGCTGTTCACTCAAATCGGGTTAAGACGAAGAGCATAAAAATACGATTTTAAATTTATTTCAAAGTCAGCTCATTTATGTAAGAAATTCAAATGTTATGATTTTAGGCTTTTGAAACTCAGCGGAGTCACTTTAAGTGATTTTTGTCCCCCTTAAATTTAAGGCTTTTTAAAATTCATTAAGATCTAATATATTTATCATAGTATTAGGGATTATGCAGAAAGTAATGTAGTTTAAGAGGCTCTAAATAAGGCGATTTGTTTAAAGATTTTTCTCTTTTCTTACAAAGCTGATGAAATAATTGAAATTTCACTTACTTCTTCACCCTACATCTTTTATCTGGATAAATACTTTCGGTACATATTCTTCCTCCATAACTGAATAAAATCGTTAAATATCGCTGTAAACTGCTAATTGAATAATCTCTGCTGCTAATGCTTTGGCGGCAACGACAACGTGGCTTAGTAACGACGTCAATGTCTTGAGTAAAACGCGTCGTCAAATATCGTTAAATGCGATCCTGATAACCATTCTTTTGAAGACTTTATTAGCTATTTAATTTACTGCCTAATGCCTATATGAAAAAAAAAAACAAGTATAAAAGATAGGATACAAAAATTGAAAATTAAATCTAAAAAAAAAAAAAAAATAAAAATAAAAAAATGAGCTTTTGTTCCGATCCAATCGATGATGCCGCGTTAAACTAAAGTTGTATATAGATCTGCGTGAGTCACGCAGAATCTAGTCAAACATGAATTTGGAAAACAAGTATCCTTAATTTCACATTTGAGCAACAGTATTTTTATGGTAACTGCTGACCAGAAGTTTTAGTTTAAACATATTTTATTCATAATCATACACAGTACATAATATACAATCATTCAATATATACAATGATGAAATGGATTAGAACGAAAGATATAAAAGTTTTAGAACATAACATTTTAGTTACAATGACAATTGATTAAGGTTTTTTGTTAGTTGTAGATAGGAAGTCAAGACGTAAGACGTCTTCCAAAGTATTAATGCAGATTTTACACAATTGTCAGATTTTTTGTTTGTTTATCCAACATAGAAACATTGTAGTTTAAGGTATTAGGACCCTAATGGGCACTATCAGGAACTAATAAGAATTGACATCATAGGTCAGATGTATACCTTAAAGTACACCTGTATGCAAAATTTAAACAAAGTTTACCGTACGGAAATCAAGTTATGGCCACTTTTCTGAACTCAAGCTAGGATGTTATGAGGGCCCTTTTTTTAGAAATGAGGAACCTTTAAATAATCTGCAATAACATTCTAATGAAAAATGTTTTCCCATGAATTTTTGGTACGAAACAAATAGTACCCTTCAGCTAACAATCCACATAAGCAAAATTATGGTTTCTACTTAAAATTTATGAAATCTGTATAAAAATGTTACCCTGCCCCACCCATTTTTACCTCATGTCTGACCATTTTTCTACTTTAGGAGCCTAATTCAAAAAATTCTTAAAATTTACCCAAATGAGTGCCTGTTTTCAAAGTTTCCCTAAATTTTTAAAAAAGGATATTGGTTGATCTTGTAAAATATAAAAAACTTTTACCGTCTAGTTTTGATTATATTATCTTTTGAAAATATCAGGTACCATATTTATTACTAGATTTAGCATAATTTAGCCAATAAATACCTATATAAATTAAAAATTCAAAATTAAACACTTTTTTCTTTCCATATGGGACATGAGAGATACATAAATAATGTTAAAAGAAAAAAAGAAAGAAAAAAAAAGTTGACCTGGGGATTGAACCCATGGCCCTCATTTTCAATGTAGTTAACAGTAATTCTAGCCTATTTGAATACTCTTCAAAGCGGAGGTAATGCATTAGGGTGCTAATACCTTAAACTTTAAACCGTATTTTATTTACGTTCGATTTTGAAGAGCTTACAATTAAGTAGTCCACCGGAACCACTCACCAGTCTGTGTCATATGAGGAAACATGGACATCTTGAAGTTACGCCGCTAACCAGTAGGACCTTTGGCTTAAGCATAATACTATTATGACTGGTGTATAATATTTTGCGGCACGTATTTTTGTTCTGTCGGTGTCATGTTTTTCATACATTATTTACTATTTATATTTCAGGGTAAACTGGAGGATCTACAAATCGAGAATCATATCTTAAACAAGCAAGCCCAAAAGGAAGGTAATACAAAGATATATACAATGTACTCTATTTATTTCTTATTGTAACTTATTACTAACAGGATCATACTTATTTATTTATTTATTTATTTATTTGATAACATATTCGCCAAGTACACACAATCAGTCATTAAAGGAACTCCACTGAGGTATAAAGGCATTAAAAATATAAATATGAAAAACTTATGATTAAATATCAAGTGATGCACTTAAAATTGTAAAATTTGCGAAGGATAACAAAGAAATATATTTAGAATTAAATTGAAAATCAATTTTATATGCGATTATTAGCCGACTTTTTGGGCTAGTTTTTACAATAAAATGATTACTCTGGAAACACAGCCAAGATAAGGGAATGAGCTAAAATTTTGCACACAAGTTATTGGATAAGACCTAAATCAATTGCTACACAAATCTCGGAAAACAATATTTTTCAGCCCCGTTATGTCAAAAAGCCGCAGTGGAGCCCCTTTAACTAATGTTTTACGGGAGATGAGCAATTTTTATTTGTTTGGGTCGTCGTTTGGACCAAACAAATAATGGTAGCGAAATTTCAGACTGCAAGCTTCGTAAGTAGTCTGTCACGAGCTCCTCGAAGCGGTTACTTCCCTTGATAAGTACACTAACGCCGAAAAAATCACTTTGTAAAGATTGTCAAATGACAGGCTCATTAATTTTTAAACCTTCTCAGAGAAGAAAAAAATAGTTCCAGATTGGTCGAAGATTTCTAATATTGTGTAATTCTTTAACATTTCTGCTACTATATTAAAATAATTTGTTACGCCGATGAATATCATTTTAATCAATGAAAATTGCTTAGCTATTGCCATAAAGCTTCGGATTATTGTGTTCCCCTTAATGAACATTTGTTATTTAGACTTTCTGAAAAATAAAGTAAGGATGTTGACTCTAGGACAGGGACGACTTTAGGCAGTCGACGATCGATAATCAATTTTAATACAATTCGAAATAAATAAGGATTACAAACCCTGATTTAGAATAATGTGGCTTGCTTCAGGCTGTTTTCTTATAACTTCCCGGTGGTCCAGGGGCTACACGCTCGTTCAGGAAACGAGAGGTCTGGGTTCAAATCCCAGTTAAGGCAACTCGAGTTTTTTATATTTTTTTATATTTTGTTTTTTATTGTTTAAGCGAAATAAACATTGAATATCAATGTCGATATTAGCCTTATAGCCAATTTACTACAGTTATAACACTGGAAACAGCATTGCTGGCAAACCACAAAAGAAATTGGTTTATAATCTCACAACCATCACCTTTCTGACATTCTGAGACCCAAACAAATTCAGCGCCTTCTGTGCTTTGATTCTTAATGCTTCGAGAATGCACATAACAGTTACAGGTCTTTTTTTTTGACAGATGAGGGAATGGGCCCTTCCGTTAACCTAAAGGAAAAAGTAGCATGATTATTATAGTTTTGCAAAAGTGGAAGAAAAAAGTTTTTGTAAACTCTATTTTATGGGGAAACTAGGATTTTAAAGCTTTTTCAGAGTGGTAGAGGACTACATATGATACATGTATGAACGACCTCCGTAATTGAAGACAAACACCCTGTATAATTACAGTACATGGAATTCGTATTTTCATTTTTATACATTGTAGATGTAGTATGATTGGTGTTATTTTTTTTTTATTTCAACAAAAATATCACAGTGTGTATATTTGTTTTCTTCTTTTACAGTTGATGAGTCACACCCCTTACTTAAATTTCCAGCACAGCCTGTGATCAAGTATGGCGTTCCAATAGAGCCATTGCAGAAGACAAAATCGAAAATCACAACGGTGTACCTCAATCCTCGGGTATCAATGTGTGACATGCAGCGGATGAGTCCAACAAAGCTTCACCACCAGGTGGCGGACATTCTAACAGCTATGACGGATGAAGACGACACCCCGCCTTTTAAACGGTGAGTAAGTGAATCCTGTTATCCATTTAGCTCAGGATTTGAAAAAAATGTTAGATTTCTGTTGAAATTAATAATCAGAATTGATTGTTTAGCAGTATAATGTAGATAGATGTAGATTGTTGATCTGACCAAAATAAAAATCAATCAGATTTAAAGCATTGTTATCTGTAATGAATAATTTTAATTTCTCTGAAGCATTACCATTAATGGTCAGCATTGTCAGGGTGATGAACTAGATATTTATAACAACAGCGCCACTATCTCACGTCCACCGCTCTCATCTGACTTTTGACTTTTAAGTCCAGTTCTACCGCCTCCGTGGTCGAGGGGTTAGAGTCGATGACTTCTTATCCAGTAACTCTCCAGGAACGATGGTTAGGAAACTACCCGTCTATATGACTGAAATACTGTTGGGAAAAGGCGTAAAATGAAACAAACAAACAAACAAAGTCCAGTTCTGATAATCATTGCCGGTTAGGTTAGGCAATACACCATGTAATTATAGTGCACAATTACGAGTACAACCACTACGGCAAAATAAAATAATAATAATGTGCAGTAAATAAAAAAACCGTAATTGAATAATTATAAAAATGAATATTCTTATTGAAACTATAATTAAAGTTACGAAAAATTATATTGATTATATTTACTTCGATTATTTTAAGTCTAATCTTAAATCTAAATCTCAATATAATCACAATTTACAATTTGGTGCACATAGAAACTTAACATTTACTCTGTTGATTGCATTCACAGGCTATTTGTATAAAAAACCTTTAGAAAAACAAAATATCCATAGAACTATAAATGCGAGTCACACTTTCCATTAATTCATTCTTTAACAACTAAATGGTCATATGGGTATAAACGGTATTTTTAGCTTTTATACTGAAAACCGTTTTCAACTACATTGTAGTTGTTACTTTATCAACTGAAGGCCAATGTTCAAGTGCAAAAATCTTAGTTTCTAAGAAACACACTTTATTTTACACTAATCAATGGAACGTGTATAAAGTTATTTTTTTCTGAACGCGGGGATTTAAGCTGTTTTGATAATATGCTAAAATATCCATGAATGTCATTTTAAATAAGTTATGAAACTATCAAATAACACGTTTAAGGTAATTATTTGAACATTGCCAAGTAATTATACTATTTTCATCTAATATTTGCATGTAGTGTTTTATGATCTTTAATCAGGTTCTGCTTATAACAATTGTTTTTAAGATGTCATATGGAATGTCTATCTTAAATTGACATTCTTGATACTTTTCACAAAATGTTTTCATTTTCTTCTGTTTCCAGGCCAAGAAAAACTCATTCAATCACGATATGCCGACCTTTCAAAGATAAAATTACCATCAATAATGCCGGTGACAACAACGGTCAGACAAACGCTTCACAACCTTTTCCGCTGAAAGTCCACACGTCATTGTCTAACCAGATTTTATTTGTCCCGAACCCTTGCAACAAGACTGTGACAAACAAGAAAATTGAGAAGCAAAATGAACATTTCAAGTGTCTTGAAACATTCGACCAATTATCTCAAGAAATTTGCGACTCACAAAGTTCCCTGATGTTTGCATGTCCTGTGGATAAAGATGACGACGACGATGAACTTAATTCTGTATTCAGTAAAACTTTACTTTCTTCCGGTGAAACGGAAGAAATTGACTATGGCGAGAGAGATATAAATTTTGGAGACGACGATATCGATGTGTTTGATACAGAAACATTTGACTTGGACTCAACTTTGAATAGTTTAGGCGAGGAACATGGGTTTCTGACACCAGCTTACTATGACCCTGATACAAAAACTGTTACTCTTCTCTTACCGTCACTAAATCCGGAAATTTAAATCTGATACTTAATGTTCTTTGACTGTAATTTGGAGAGAGGCCTATTAGAGGCATATTTACGCTTTATATGTGATATATGTGATAACGACAAATGTAATTTTTTAAGATAATGCTTATGTATTCATGTTAATTCTCTCCTCTAATTGTTTTTACTTTTTCTTCCACATATATTTTTCTAATTTTAAGAGACAAAATATTCTCTATTTTTCTGATAGTGACAGATTAAAGTTGAAATCGTTAGCGTCTATTTTATTTTTAGAATTCTGAGCCAGAATATATAAACAAATTTCAATAATTATTTTTATTTACTATATTATTTTAGTATTTTGATAAAAACAGATGGCTGCATATTTCAATAAGAAATCTTAAGTTGTCTGTGGGAATTAATCACCAAATCTTTTCAATCAAAACTCATATATTATAATATGATGTTTTAACTGCTGATCTGATTAATCAATTTTTATAACAATTGAATGTTTTGCCAGGGTGCAAATTTCTGTATTTCTTTTTCACGTTTTTAGCTGATGAGTTAAAAAATTGCTTCAGATAAAGCACTTTTTTCAAACTTTATCAAAAAAGTATTGTAATGACTAAAGTATTTTCTTCACTTTGAGGCTAAGGTCATATAGTCAATTATCATGAAGGTAAAAAAACTATGAAACAAAGCCTTTGTGCAATCTAAAGTTGATTTTGGATCATAAGTGATAAATAATATGCAATATTTGTGTGTGTGAGCAATGACATTGTTAAACTGTTGTGATATGATTCATACTGAACCTGTACTTTTGTTGTAATGTTTATATAATCATTAAACAATATTTTGAAAACCGTGACGTCTTTTCATTAAATGTTGAATTTTGCTTAAGCCGGCGCTAGGAAGCGTGAACGGTAGACTGAAATTAACACTACTGTCCATGAACAGACTCAATCAAAGCAACGTTACATTTTCAATTAAGACTTTTTGGCAACTTGCGGGTGTTTTTATAACTTAGACTTACAAGCTTGACATATTACTGAACAATACTTAGTGAGTACTGCTTGAAACCTTTACATTACTCATGGCTGACCGTTGTTTCTGTAATGTTGTCTATATTGTAACGCATGGAGCAAGGACCCGCATGTTACTAATTGTCTAACAACGCATTTAAAAACGTTCAATTAACAGCTATAGCACGTAGATCTATGGTGTTAAAATTCAATTGCATAACCACTTTTATGGCACTTCTCATACAGTCAGCATTACCCAGAGCTCAACACACACAGCTAACATTACTCAGAAAGCGCAGCACAACACAGACCTATCATTACTCACAGTCAATATAACTCGCAGAGCATTATGAAGAAAGTCAACAGGACTCCCAGAGCGCATCACAACACGCAGAGCTAACATTGCTCACAGAACACTACACACATACACAATGAACTTAACTCACATAGCTCTACTTACACAGTTTACATGATTAACAGAGCATTCCTCACACAGGTAGCATTACTCACAGAGCTCTACTAAAGCAGTCATCATTACTCACAGAACACTATATTCAAAGTCATTTGGACTCATAGAGCATTTTTACACTGCGTAAATTACCCATGCAAACAGCTGACGCTACTCACACAGCTAACATTACTCTTACAGCTAACATTACTCTTACAGCTAACATTACTCTTACAGCTAACATAACTCACACAGCTAACATAACTCACACAGCTAACATTACTCTTACAGCTTACATTACTCTTACAGCTAACATTACTCTTACAGCTAACATTACTCTTACAGCTAACATTACTCTTACAGCTAACATTACTCTTACAGCTAATATTACTCATACAGCTAACATAACTCACACAGCTAATATTACTCACTCAGCTAACATTACTCACTCTCACACAGCTAACATTACTATTACAGCTAACATTACTCACACAGCTAACATTACTCAACACATCTTACATGACACAGCTAACAATACTCACACTGCTAACATTATTCACACAGCTTACATCACTCACACAGCTTACATTTCTCATAGAGCTTACATGACTCACACAGCTGACATTTCTCATACATCTGACATGACTCACTCGGCTGACATAACTCTCACAGCTAACAAACATAATTCACACAGCTTTCACTACTCACACAGCTAATATTACTCACTGAGCACTACTCAGTCGACATGACTCACAGAGCATTTTCACACAGCTGACATTTCTTACAAAGCACTTCTCACACGGCTTATATTACCATACTTACACACAGAGTCAAAATTACATAACTTTTTTGTAATATAAATCAGAATGCACAACAAATGTGTAAAATTGAATATTTAACATGAATTTACAGATCAAAGCCATACTTGAATATTTTTGTATGTTTTTGTTCACGGTCATTAGACAGAGTTGTTAGAGTTGCTTTTCAATGTATGAACCAATGTCCATTATTAACACAGTTATGGTAGTTATTTGTAGTGATGGAAATCGGATGAAATTTGTCCCAATCGATAATCGGTTCAGTCGGATGGGACATAATTGATAACTTTCGAATAAAGTCGCGTTAAAAAATAATAGGGAAGTAACATTTCTTACCAAGGCACTTGATTATATTTAATAACATGAACTTCATTTAGCACTTTTCAACACAGTTTTAACCTTATAAAGTCATAATTTTACGAAATAGATTTTATTTTTCAATAGATATCAAATAATACCATTTTCATCACATTATATTTCTTTTGTTTTACATCACTTATTGATCCTGTTCAACTCCAAATTGTCTCTGAGTGATTTTTTTCGATCCGCGAGGTGTTCCTAAAGGAAAATTACCGTCAGAATTAAATTCCCTTTGATAATTAAAACATTTTTCACGACGTCGCGGAACAAACTTTTGTGAATCGATTATTGTCGTTTTACATAACAGTAAGTGATAATCGGCGACTTGCGACAATCGGAACATCACTAGTTATTTGAGTAAAATTCAACAACTTAACCATGGACATCAAGGTCACTTTTATGTTTAAACTTTTAATGTCAGTCATATTTGAATTATTCAATATGTCAGTTATGATATGGCTGTCATTTAGTCCAATATTATGAATATTGTCTGTAAATTAATAGCAAAGCTATCACAATTTAAGCAAAATTCAATACACGATGTACGTTGACCATGACCCTCAAGGTCATTTCAGGTCAATTCATAGCAAAATTATTTATCATGTCGGTTGTGTCATAAATGTCGTTTTATCCAAGAATAAATTAAATCAGTAAATAAATAAGAGAGGTATGAGTTTTTTTCCGATTTTTAAGCAACTCTCAATAATTTCACCTAGACGGCCAAGGTTATTTAAAGGCCAATGTCATATTTGAATTAATTAACTTGTTGGTTTGTGGTCACTGGTATTGAATTTTTGTTTTGTTCCCGTATGAATCAAATCCGTCAACAAATATAAAAATTGAAACAATTTTAACAGAATTAAGAAACGGGGATAGGAGAAAAAGAAAATTACAAACACATATTTTCTAGTTATCTAAAATATATTTAACTAGATATTTCGATTTTCTTCTTTGATTCGTAAAAAATACCCATTTCAAATGGGGAAAAAATAACAAATAAAAACCCCATATGAAATGGGAAAAATAACAAATAAAAACCCATTTGAAATGAAAAACAATGATGTCAAATGGGAAAAAACGAAGGAGCTTTTCAGTCCATTTCCAAACTTGGTGTCTTGATCTGAAAAAAATAAAATATGGTTTGCGTTATGAAGTTTATATCAAATTTTACTATTTATATATAGCTGTAAACAGTATTTAAAGAATAAAGAACTCCCTATGGTAAAATACGAAACTCCATGTTACAGTCTAGCTACTCCATGATATAGTCGGTTGACTCCGTGTTATTTATAAAGTTCGCATTATAAAAATAACAAGTGCATAATTGCAAGTTTCAAACGAATTTACGTATGTCTTTGTTTATTTTTTTATTTTTAAATAGCGGCAGTTAGCCAAAATCTTTTTCGGTCAAAATTTCTTTATAGTTTAAATGAAAAATTAAAGATAGAAATCTTAGTTAATAATCAAACAAACCTTTGGCTTAATATCTTGTTTGTTAATTCTGGTGTTAACATATTCAGGCTTCTCAATCCATTCTTTCTCACATGGTATGTTCTGAAATACATAAATGTTTGTCAATTAAAATGAGATATTCTCACATTTTTTACATTTTTCTTCATTTTATGTGTGTGATAATTTTAAAATGCTTCAATACTGTTTACAGTACACCTCGGTTATAGAGAACCTGCCGGGACCTTGTGTTTGTGAATGCTATATCCGAGGTGTTTCTTATAACCAATTTTAGTGATAAATATTGTGCGTAGCATGCGCATCAACTCAACAAAAATAATCACTTTTTGATTATCTTATAATCATGTCATAGTTTTCAAATTTAATGTCCGGCTAAATAAGCGATATAGCAAAAATCATATATGAAAATAAAAGTATGGAATTATAACTTACATAAAAACAAAACAAAAAGAAAGAAAGAACAGATTCTTACCGATGCATGTCTAAACTTGTATGTACGGCATGTTTGTTTGTATACTTGTGTGGCAAGTTTGTTTACTTCTGTATCACTGTTAGAAAAAAAAAAACACATTGTCTTTCAATAATGAATAAAATGTACATTTCTTGCAGTCAAAGAATTACAAAAAAGGTCAATGGTCAATGGCGAAACAGTAAGAAGTGCATGAAACAACGACCAAAATAAAACATGTCATGATTGACTAATGAGTAAATAAATGGATCAATCAATCAATCAATCAATCAATCAATTCAATATTGTGTTCAGTGTATTGTTTAAAAGGTTTAATCATCTTATGTATATAAAAAATATACAACAAAGTTTTTTCTTTTCCAAATAAATTGTTTTATCAAGAAAATAGCTTACCTCAGATTTTGTCTGTTTTTGTTCATCAAAGTTCTGATTGTATCAGTAAGCATCTCAACTACATCAAGTTCAAGGTCGTTTGACATCTGTAAAAAAGATATGTTACAATACAATTTACAAACTGTAATTTACAAAGCAAGTACAATTAAGTGAAAGTCTATCCTTTAAAATAAGATATAAAACCGCTATGACAGTAGACCACACATTGGAGAAAATAATAATTATGATATTGAAAATAATATTGAAAATAATAATGATAATAAATAATAATAATAATATGGCCAGTAGTTTGGACGGCTTAAAATTTATTCATATGACTTTAACGTAGAAAAAAAACACACAAAAAGTTCTAAATAATATTGATAATAATAATAAATAATATTTATAATATTTTTAATATGAAGTATATGTTTGTACAATATAAACATGGTGTAAGTTGACGCGAAAGTTTCCAAAACACGCACTTGAATTGTACTACCAATGTAATGTACCTTTAATATTATTATATAAAAACTGTATGATATGCGATAACCTACCTTTTGAATTTTCTCTCGCAAACTTATCTCAGCTAAGAACTTTTTCTCAAAAGCAATATGGTCTTTCTCGTGCTTGACCATCCATTTATTATGTACCAATTCCATATCCTGTAAAAATAAACCAACATTATGGTCTAATAATGTAAATAAAACTTATAATTCGTGAACTGTATTTTTCAAGATGCCATTATATGAATGAAAACAAGTATGTATTAACACAGAATTTGTACAAATTGATGTATCTATCATTTATTGTACATTGTTTATCCATTTACGTATAGCAACTTATACATATATATCTTAATCTGCATGTATATTTGTGATTTTTTTCCATATAAGGTATTCATCAAAAATGAAAATGTATCATTGTAAAAGTAAATGAAAACAGTTCACAGCTTTAACAACATCAACAACAACAACAGCAACAAAAATAATAACAACAACAAACAAACAAAAACTCTTGCACAACTGTTTTGACATGGAATTTCTGTTCAAGAATTGTTAAAAGATTTTATCTTTATAGTCAGTAATATGGGCAATAAAAGCAGTCAAAAGCCCCATACCTCAATTGCTGCCTCTCTTACTTTAGCCTCGTTCTGGTTGTAACGTAACGAAGATCTCCGTGTCTCTAAAATCAACTCATACTTTTGCAGTTTTGCCTTTGACTTCCAACAATTCTGAAAATCAAGGATATTTTATATAAATCTAAGAATCTGGAAAGAAAGTGATCCCTCGGAAGCATTAATCACAACAAAATTACATAAGAATTGCAGACTCGGTTTGATTGAGTCTGTACATGAATACTGAATAAGTGCAACATCCCTCACGCCCCCTAGCACCGGTTTGAGCGGTACTCAATTCTTAACACGTAACACGTAATAGTGCCGGTATCAATGATCCCGAAGGACCAGAAAAATATAACAACACTGAAGTGAAGTACGGGGCAACTTTTTACAGCTGCCACACAGCACTTGACACCTGCTGTTGTGAAGTATAAAAATCTGGAAAGAAAGTGATCCCTCGGAAGCATTAATCACAACAAAATTACATAAGAATTGCAGACTCGGTTTGATTGAGTCTGTACATGAGGAATACTGAATAAGTGCAACATCTCTCACGCCCCTTATCACCGGCTTGAGCGGTACTCAATTCTTAACACGTAACACGTAATAGTGCCGGTATCAATGAACATTAGTGTTTTGTAAAATGATGCATTAATCAATTATATTAAAATACAATACCATGCAACAGAATACAATTAAAAACTGATATTTTGTTCATAGCTTTGCAAATAAGAAATCAATTAATTTACAAACTATGGTATATTAACATGATTATACTGATTTCTAAATTAACTATTCAAATATGATATGAATGGTATAATCACGTTGCAATGTTTTGTTTTTTAGAGCGTTCCTTAGTAAAGATAAAACTTACCATTCTAGCTTCTCTCAATGCAAGCAGGGCTGTTTCATGTTTCTTAATGAAGTGTACCAGCGTTCTTTTGCGTTCTTTTAAAACTAGGTGTGTCTCAGAGGAAAACCTATATTGGCAGACAAAAATGTTAATATAAATCAATAAGAAGTACTAAAATGTATCACTTACTGCAAGTTATAGTATAAACGTAATTCAATTTGTATCATTTATTGTGACCACAAACACCTCAGACATTTTAACAACGATCGTTTATTGCAGCTATACAATTTAATTTTTATCATATTTTGCGAGCACATGAAAAATATGTTGTTTTTTATACCCACTGAAAAACAGGTTATTATTAATACATATAATTTTACATTGTATTTTCATTGCATTTTTATATTTGTTGCACTGTTTTGTATTTTGGACCGAATGCCTATGTCACAAGAATAAACTTTATGTTATGTTGTAAAATCTTACAGTGTATCAAAATCTTCATCAGTACTAATGATATCATAATCTTGTCTAGAATATTTCAGAACAGAGTTTCTCAATGTTCGCAGGAAAGTGGTTAGTCTGTTTTCTAGAGAAAGAGACAGATAGAAAGAAAAAGATAGAAACAATAAAAAGAAGTAAGAAAGAACTTAGAAAGAAGTATACAAAAGAAGCCTAAGTAGAAACGATGCACGCCGAAATAATATATATCTGTAGACAAAAGCAAATTGAAATGACGGGTGTTGAAAATAAGCACAGTGTATCTTAATTTTAAGGCCGTTCGTGGGTTCACTTCACAACACAGAAGAAATTTTCTTGTTTTAATAATCTGCAGTTCATAATGGTTTGATTACTGATTTAGAAAGAAAAAAAAAAAAAATTGAGAAGTTTTCTAACAAGACGAAAATGATAAGATAAAACTAAACGTAAAAGAACTCAAACTAAACGAAAAGGAACGACAAACAAGACATGTTTAATGATAAAGGTGAACTATTCTAAGCACTTAAAATATTCTTCATTTAAGAAAATCACAAACCTTGCTTAACTTTCACTGCCTGGAAAATCGGAACTGTAATGGGAACGTATCCGGTAAATACAGATAAACTGTTAAGACTGGAAAATCTGTAATAAATAAATAAATAAATGAAAAAGGATGACTAATGAATGAAATAAATTAAAACCTAATCAATAGATACATAGATATTTGTGGCTTGATGATATGATTGCACAGGAATTGTTAGTTTGTTTATCTTATGCCAGATCTATTTGCACTTGAGATTTCTTTCTTTCTTTTATTACGAACCTATGGTGAATTAAAATTGAAATTTCACTTACATTCCTCCATCTTGGGTCAGCATAGATATTTTCGGTATAAAAACTTCCTCCATAACTGTCGATAATCGTTAAATATCGCTGAAAACTGCTAAGTGAATAAATTCGCTTTGCTATTGCTGTGGCGTAAATGACAATGTCGCGTAGAAACGACGTCAGCGTCATGTGGAAATCACGACGTCAAATCTCGTTTCACGTGATCACGTTTTTTTGTTTTTTTGTTTTTTTTACTGTTTTATGCATCCAATTCCGCTTTCTATATTTAAAAGATGGTTTATAATGTGATGAAACATCGATTTTCAAAAAAATGATTTCGTCTGATGCGGCATTAAAGTAGACGTCACAGTATAATACATGAAGGCTTAAGACCTAGAGCATGTGCATGATATAATCTGTGAAAAACAACGAATGCTAATAATGATTTTGATTTTGTTTTTTACCATTATTTCAGCTATACGCAAGATTTTTTTTCTTAAAGGAAACAGGTTGAATTGGCGTGAATCCTTTTAACAAGCTATTGGCAATATTTAAATTTTGATTGTATTTAGTATTATAATGCTATTTCCGGTATTTTTCATTGTTTGTGTAATGTTGTCTATATTGTAACCCCTCCGGCAAGGACTGGTATAAAACGTTTAGGCACAAGATTACAATTACTCCACAGCACCACTCACATAGTCAACATAACTCCATAGCACCACTCACGTAGTCAACATTAATCCACAACATCAATAACATACTAGTAGTTAACATTGTTTCACTGCACCACTTATATAGTCAACATTACTCACATAACGGTACTCACATAGTCAACATTACTCACATAACAACACTCACATAGTCAACATTACTCCACAGCACCACTCAAATAGTCAACATTACTCCACTACATCACTCACTTAAAAAGAACCACTCACATAGTCAACATTACTCACATAACAACACTCAAACATTCAACATTACTCAAAAGCACCACCTACATATTCAACATTATTCCACAGAAACACTCACATAGTCAACATCACTCCTCTGCACCACTCACAAAGGCAACATTACTCACGGATCACCACTAACATAGTCAACATTACTCACATAACACTACTCACACTTTCAATATTACTTCACAGTACCACTCACATAGAAACAATACTAAAAAGCAACACTCGCATAGTCAACATTACTCCATAGCACCACTCACATAGTCAACATTGCTCCATAGCACCCCTCACATTGTCAACATTACTCACATAACACTACCCACACATTCAACATTACTCCACAGTACCACCCACATAGTCAACATTACTCAAAAGCACTCACAAAGTCAACATTACTCCACTGCACCACTCACACAGTCAAAATTACCCACAGAGCACCACTTATATAGTCAAGATTACTCACATTACACTTCTAACACATTTAACATTACTCAAAAGCAACACTCACATAGTCAATAATACTCAAAAGCAACACTCACATAGTAAACATAACTCCACTGCACTACTCACACAGTCAATATTACTCACTGGCAGTCACACATAGTCAACATAACTCCATAGCACCACTCACGTAGTCAACATTAATCCACAACATCAATAACATACTAGTAGTTAACATTGTTTCACTGCACCACTTATATAGTCAACATTACTCACATAACGGTACTCACATAGTCAACATTACTCACATAACAACACTCACATAGTCAACATTACTCCACAGCACCACTCAAATAGTCAACATTACTCCACTACATCACTCACTTAAAAAGAACCACTCACATAGTCAACATTACTCACATAACAACACTCAAACATTCAACATTACTCAAAAGCACCACCTACATATTCAACATTATTCCACAGAAACACTCACATAGTCAACATCACTCCTCTGCACCACTCACAAAGGCAACATTACTCACGGATCACCACTAACATAGTCAACATTACTCACATAACACTACTCACACTTTCAATATTACTTCACAGTACCACTCACATAGAAACAATACTCAAAAGCAACACTCGCATAGTCAACATTACTCCATAGCACCACTCACATAGTCAACATTGCTCCATAGCACCCCTCACATTGTCAACATTACTCACATAACACTACCCACACATTCAACATTACTCCACAGTACCACCCACATAGTCAACATTACTCAAAAGCACTCACAAAGTCAACATTACTCCACTGCACCACTCACACAGTCAAAATTACCCACAGAGCACCACTTATATAGTCAAGATTACTCACATTACACTTCTAACACATTTAACATTACTCAAAAGCAACACTCACATAGTCAATAATACTCAAAAGCAACACTCACATAGTAAACATAACTCCACTGCACTACTCACACAGTCAATATTACTCACTGGCAGTCACATAGTCAACATTTCTAAACAGTACCACTCACATAGTCAAAATTACTCGAAAGCTACACTCAAATAGTCAACATTACTCCGAAGCACCACTCACATAGTCAACATTACTCCATAGAAACACGCACGTAGTCAACATAACTCCACAGCATTACTCACATAGCTAACATCATTTTTCTGCACCACTTACATAATCAACATAACTCCAAAGTCAACATTACTCACATAACGCTACTCACAAAGTCATCATTACTCCAAAGCACCACTCACATAGTCGGCATTACTTCACAGCACTATATTCATATAGTCAACACTACTCAAATATTCAACATTACTCATATAATATTACTCATTCAGTCAACATAACTCCACTGCACCACTCACATAGTCAACATTTCTCAACAGCAACACTCACATAGTCAACATTTTTCAACAGCTACACTCACATAGTCAACATTACTCCACAGGTACACTCACATAGTCAACATAACAACATAGCACCACTCACATAATCAATATTACTGCACAGTATCACTCACATAGTCAACATTACTGACATAGCACAAATATAGCGTTTAGACGCGCTAAATGTAAGAGTTACATTTTAGCCGCGTCAAAGAATAAATGATTGTTTTCTCTCAAAATATTTTTGTAAAAAAAAGGGAATTAGAATCAACCGTTTCAATTAAATTCCCAGTTTAATATGAAACATAACACCAAAATCTTTGTCTCTATTTATTCAATTATTAGATTAAAACGTTTCATCTGAGACTATAAGTAATTCAAGGTTTCGTTCAAACACATAAGTCTTAAACATGTCGACAGACGTTATTATTGTAAAGTAACATCGCCTCCTGGTCGACCCTGTTGTTTGTTTCTAAAAGTCATTTCATAAACCACCTCTCCTTTGTATTCTAACAGACATTCAAATAAGGCTATGTTGGGTATTAAAAGGGAACTTAGGGGTTCAAAATTCGGAAAAAAACTTATCTTATGAACCAATACATCATTCATTGAGGATTATTTTGCGGAAGTGTGTTTGTTTTATGTCATCGTGGGGCGTGCATCTAGCTTTAGAACCATCTCTCATAATTCAAGGGAGTTAATATGATCACGTATTTTGAAATTTTCTATCAAGTATTCGGCGATGTTTCAAAACGCACTCAAGGCAACAATTATATACGGTGGCACAAAGGTTACATGTGTGTGTTTTCATTTATCTCGTGCGCACGAGATACTATGTGGTGGCCACGAGTTACTAAGTCGTGGACACAAGATAGTTAAGTCGTGGGAACGAGAAACTATATCGTGGCCACGAGTTACTATATCGTGGCCACGAGTTACTAAGTCGTGGCCACGAGATGGTTGAGTCATGGGAATGAGATACTATGTCGTGGCCACGAGGTAGTTAAGTCGTGCGCACGAGATAAATAACCAATCAGATTACACTATTTATATGAGTTTTCTTAATTAACTAGACATGTACTTAGTAACTCGTGGCTGCGACATAGTATCTCGTGGCCACGTCATATAGTATCTCGTGGCCACGACTTAATTAGCTCGTGGCCACGACTTAGCAACTCGTGGCCAAGACATAGTATCTCGTTCCCATGACTTAACTATCTCATGGCCAAGACTTAGTAACTCGTGGCCACGACATCTCGTGCGCACGAGATAAATACAAACGCATACATGTCACCTTTGTGCCACCGTAATAATACCACACATTGGACTTATTTACTAAATGTTTTAATGGCAAAATTGCAGATTTTTTATCGTAATCATCAGCGGAATAAACATTGTTTCCGTTCTTATATTTACTAACTGATGGTTTTTGGACAATGATGTCGATAATGTAATATTGGTCAATGTTATCGGCATTGTCATTTTGTCTGGTTGGTTCGAAGCACACAGATCTTTTTGATGAACCAGTTCAATATCAAAATTGTTGTGAAACAGATACTACTATAGGCGAAAAAGAAATACAAACACATTTTTTCTAGTTATCTAAAATATATTTAACTAGATTTTTTTCACGAAAAAAAAACCCATTTTGAATGGGAAAAAATAATAGCAAATAAAAACCCATATGAAATGGGAAAAAATAATAGCAAATAAAAACCCATTTGAAATGAAAACACAATGATGTCAAATGGGAAAAAGAAGCCTTTCATTCCCTTTCCAAACTTGATGTCTTGATCTGAAAAAAATATGGTTTACGTTATGAACTTTATATTACCTTTTACTAAATATAAACTGCTGTATAGCTGCAAACAGTGTGTATTTAAAAAATATAATAGCCCGAATATTTAAGTCTCCTTACGACATAATACGAAACTCCATGTTACAGTTTAGCTACTCCATGTTATAAATGAATGACTCCGTGTTACGTATAAAATGCGCATTATAATATCCAGACATTCATATCATTGTCAGTTTCAAACGCCCACTATAGTTTATGTTTATTTCTTTTTTAAATAGCCAAACTCTTCTAAGTTCAAATTGTCTTTATCTTTAAATGAGAGAATACAAAAAGGAACCTAATCATTAATCAAACAAACCTTTCTCTTTAAGTCTTGTTAATTCTGTTGTTTACATATTCTGGTTTCTCAATCCATTCTTTCTGACATGGTATGTTCTGAAATACATAAATGTTTACCAATTTAAAAAAAAGAAAGATATTCGCACATGTTTTACCATTGTTTTATGTGTGTGATAACTTTGAAATACTACAATAGATATGCCGATACGATTTACAGTAAACCTCGGTTATTGCGAACTTGCCGGGACCATGTGTTTTTGAATGCTTTATCCAAGGTTTCTTATAACCAATATAAATGATATTGTGCGTAGCATGCGCACCAACTAGACAAAATAAATCGCTTTTTGATTATCTTATAATCATGTCATAGCTTTACACATAGTTCTCAAATTCAATATTGAATTAAATAATTGGATATAACAAACATTATGATTATATCAAATAAACGAATGGAATTATAACTTACATAAAAAAGGGCAGATACTTACCGATGCATGTCTAAACTTGTATGTACGGCATGTTTGTTTGTATACTTGTGTGGCAAGTTTGTTTACTTCTGTATCACTGTTGGGAAAAAACACTTTTTTTAAATACTGAATATTGTGTTAATTTCTTGCAGTCAAAGAATTACAAAAATGTGGTCAGAATTATTTTTTTAACAATGTTCTAAAGATTTTAACATGGTAAAATTACATGTATCATAGAAATATCCAACAATTTATTCTTTTCCAAAAATTGTATTATCAAGAAAATAACGTACCTCAGATTTTGTCTGTTTTTGTTCATCAAAGTTCTGATTGTATCAGTAAGCATCTCAACTACATCAAGTTCAAGGTCGTTTGACATCTGTAAAATAGATATGTTACAATACAATTTACAAACTGTAATTTACAAAGCAAGTACAATTAAGTGAAAGTCTATCCTTTAAAATAAGATATAAAACCGCTATGACAGTAGACCACACATTGGAGAAAATAATAATTATGATATTGAAAATAATATTGAAAATAATAATAATAATAAATAATAATAATAATAATAATATGGCCAGTAGTTTGGACGGCTTATAATTTATTCATATGACTTTAACGTAGAAAAAAACACACAAAAAGTTCTAAATAATATTGATAATAATAATAAATAATATTTATAATATTTTTAATATGAAGTATATGTATGTACAATATAAACATGGTGTAAGTTGACGCGAAAGTTTCCAAAACACGCACTTGAATTGTACTACCAATGTAATGTACCTTTAATATTATTATATAAAAACTGTATGATATGCGATAACCTACCTTTTGAATTTTCTCTCGCAAACTTATCTCAGCTAAGAACTTTTTCTCAAAAGCAATATGGTCTTTCTCGTGCTTGACCATCCATTTATTATGTACCAATTCCATATCCTGTAAAAAATAAACCAACATTATGGTCTAATAATGTATATAAAACTTATAATTCGTGAACAGTATTTTTCAAGATGCCATTATATGAATGGAAACAAGTATGTATTAACACAGTATTTGTACAAATTGATGTATCTATCATTTATTGTACATTGTTTATCCACTGACCTATAGCAACTTATACATAGATATCTTAATCTGCATGACATTGTATATTTGATTTTTTTTCAATATAAGGTATTCACCAAAACTGAAAATGTATAATTGTAAGTAACAGTTCACAGCTTTAACAACAACAACAACAACAACATCAACAATAATAATTATAGCAACAAAAAACAAACAAAAACTCTGGCACAACAATTTTGACTGGGAATTTCTGTCCAAGAATTGTTAGTAAGTAATATGGGCAATAAAAGCAATCAAAAGCCCCATACCTCAATTGCTGCCTCTCTGACTTTAGCCTCGTTCTGGTTGTAACGTAACGAAGATCTCTGTGTCTCTAAAATCAACTCATACTTTTGCAGCTTTGCCTTTGACTTCCAACAATTCTGTAAATCAGAGAAACTTTATATAAATCAAAGGGAAAACCTTTAAAAGTTTTGTAAAAATAAATCATTGATAAAATTATTTAAAAAACACTAATTTTTTTTAAAAATTTATAGTTCAATATGATATAAAAAATGATCCTTTTTTCTTTTTTAAAATCAAGTTTTAATGTTTTTTTTTTAAAGAGCTTTTTCCTTTAGTTAAGATAAAATTCCCATTCAAAGGCTTTTTTAAATTTGCAAGCAGGGCTGTTTCATGTTTTTAAATGAAGTGTCCCAAACGTTTTTTTTGCGTTTTTTTAAAAACTAGGGGGTTTTCTCAGGGGAAAAAACCAAAAATTGGTAAAAAAATTAAATATAAATTTCAAAAATAGTTTTAAAAAGAAAATTTTTAAGCAAATAAAAAAATCTTGCACTCAAAAGTGTAGTTTTTTAAAAGGGAAATCACTAAAATAAACTCCCAAGTTATAGTGAATACCTAAATTAATCTGTACCATTTATTGTGAGCACGAACACCTTCGAGACAATCTTTAAATTTTGCAACAGTTTGAAATTCATTTCAACGAGTCGTAAATGATACAGTGCAAAAAACTAAAAAAGAACAGGAACTGCGTTTAAAGATACATGAAGGTGAAATATTCAAGCACTTAAAGAATTTTTCGTTTTTAGAGAAATCACAAACCTTGTTAACTTTCACTGCCTGGAAAACTCGGAACTGTAATTGGAAAACGGTATTTTCGGAAATGTTAACATTAACAGATAAGAGCTTGTCAAGACTGGAGATTAAAAACCTTGTAATTAATAAATAAGGAATTTTAAATAAATAAAGGTGAGTTTTGAAAATTGATATAAATTAATAGTCGCGATTAATCAAACTAATTACTTAAGAATGAATATTGAGATATAGATGAGTGTAATGGTTCATTTTAACAAATTGTAAAAAAAATTTTGTTAAAAAAAATGTTTCAAATTACATACGTAATTCCAATTTCCCAGTACCTGTAGTTCATATATAATAGGCCGGTAGTTGTTTCCTAACAAAACATCGTTTCCTGGAGAGTTACTAGACTCCCTTCCTCCGCAATTTACAAATCAATTGATAAATTAATAACAAAATAAATATATAAATTCAAAAAAAAGGAAGGCTAGATGAATAAATAAATAAAATAGATACATAAATAAACAAGCAAAATGATGAATTAACATGGGAACGAATGAATGAATTCAATTTAACCTAATAAATAGAAACAAAGATATTTTTGTCCTGTTGATACTGATAATATGATTGCACAGGAATTGTAAGTTTGTTTCTCTTTAGCCAGATCTGTTAAGCACTTCAGTTTTTGTTTCTTTTCATACTAACCTAATGCATGTATGGTGAAATAATGGAATTTTCACTTACATTCCTCCATCTTGGGTCAGGATAGATATTTTCGGTATAAAAACTTCCTCCATAACTGTCGAAATCGTTAAATATCGCTGAAAACTGCTAAGTGAATAAATTCTCTTTGCTATTGCTTCGGTGTCAATGACAATGTCGCGTAGAAACAACGTCAACGTCATACGTAAATCACGACGTCAAATCTCGTTTAACGTGATCACGTTTTTTTTTTTAAAATAAATGTTTCATACAATCACTTCCGTTTCCGAGATCAAGGAGATGGCTTATATAGATGTTTTTAATAAATCCACACAATAACTAAACACACAATCTTTAGGAAGTTCTGTTTAGATTGACTTTGCGCGCAAATCGCACAGTCTATTCTACAGTGAAATTTTTTTTTCACCAACGGCTTTAATGAAAACATGTAATGAAACAAGTGATACAGCTGTCTTGTAAGAATACAAATGTAGCATCGTTCGTAAAATGTTTTGTTATAAGGAATAACATTGGACGACCAGAGTTCCGCATACAGGGAAATGTCTTAAGGACAAATGTATATCACAAGGACAGTTATCATAATGAACACGAATTTCTATAAAGAAATTTCCTAGCTTCCTCCGAAACACTTGCCAGCACTGGTGCACGTTGATTAATTAGTGACAATTTGTGATATTCCACCATCTTTTTTAAAAATCTGTGCCGAAACACGACATGGCATGTAGAAGACAGGACATGTAGAACGTGTATTTGAAAATAAATTGTATTCACCAAAGTTGAATCATTCAAAGGACCAGTTTTAATGTACACAGTTGTTCCAGAAATTTATGCTGTTTTGTAATCTTTTGATGTCCGGATACGTTATTATGTATTCATAAGTTTAGTAAACCGATACTTTTGATAGAAATAATGTACAAATGCTTAAACACTTGAAAATATGCCAAAACACGACAAAACGTGTTTTAAATAGCTTAAATATTCAAAATCTGTCCTTTTGCCCCGTCGCTAGTAACGGTGGTATATTTCAAATGAGTCTTGACAACGGTTAATGAAATTTCTAAGAAAAAAACTGTTCTCAGTAATTTAAATAGACCTATCTTGTACTTATAAAGAAGGAAAATGTCCAGCCCAGTTCAAAACCTCACAACCTGGTTTAATACTTTTATGTCGCCAAAACAGTATCAGCTTCCATTACAGTTATTAAACTTTGTTTTATAAAGGTATGTACCTGCAATAATGTCGTATTTTTTAGATTAAATACCAGTGAATTTTGTTTGAAATTGTTAAATTACCTTTAAATGTTATCAAAGTTACATAGTCGACCATCATAGCCCATCATACAGTTTCCATTGAGAAAAACAAAAACGTGTTTAACTTCCGTGACCAAAAGTTTAGAGACATAGTGAGGTACAAGTTCCCTTTAATGATTCATAATGATGTTTAAGGTTTACAAGTGTTGTTTTTTTCTAATTGATATAAATATTAAAAATCTGTTTTCAAAGAACATTTTTTTTAACTTCCGTTACTGTTAACTTCCGTGACATTTGTGGTTAATGTTATCCTACCTTTGCTAGGATGATGATAAAGGATTGTTGAAACACTCTAAATGATTGTTTAGTTCGAAGCCAGCAAACTTTAAAAGAAAATCAAAATCAAAACAAGAGGGCCATGATGGCCCATGATCGCTCACCTGACCCATCAAACTCATCCAAACATTTACCTAGACAAGCATTCTGACCAAGTCTCATGACAGGTGAGTCAAAAATGTGACCACTACAGTGTTAACAATGATTATCCATATTTGAGCAGTGTGACCTAGTTTTTTACCCAGGTGACCCATATTCAAACTTGACCTAGAAATCATCAAAACAAACTTTCAGACCAATTTCCAGGATACTTGGATGTAAACAGTAGCAACTAGAGTGTTAACAAGATTTTTCTATTTTTAGCTCCTGTGACCTAGTTTTTCATCCGAGATGACCCATGTTCGATTTAATCCCAGCAATGACCTAGACAAGTTTCCTGACCAAGTTTGATGACAATAGAGTCAAAATTGTGACCACTAGAGTGTTAACAAGGTTTTTCTATTTTTAGCTCCTGTGACCTAGTTTTTCATCTGAGATGACCCATGTTTGAACTCATCTAAGCTATCACCTAGACAAGCATCCTGACCAAGTTTGATGATGATTGAGGCAAAAATGTGACCGCTAGAGTGTTAACAAGGTTTTTCTATTTTTAGCTCCGGTGACCTACTTTTTCATCCGAGGTACCCATGTTCGAACTCATCCGAGCTATCACCTAGATAAGCATCCTGACCAAGTTTGATGATGATTGAGGCAAGAATGTGACCGCTAGAGTGTTAATAAGGTGTTTCTATTTTTAGCTCTTGTGACCTAGTTTTTCATTCAGAATGACCCATGTTCGAACTCATCCAAGCTATCACCTAGACAAGCATCTTGACCAAGTTTGATGATGATTGATGCAAAAATGTGACCGCTAGAGTGTTAACAAGGTTTTTTCTATTTTTAGCTCCGGTGACCTACTTTTTCATCCGAGATGACCCATGTTCGATTTAATCCCAACAATGACCTAGACAAGTTTCCTGACCAAGTTTGATGACAATTGAGTCAAAATTGTGACCACTAGAGTGTTAACAAGGTTTTTCTATTTTTAGCTCCTGTGACCTAGTTTTTCATCTGAGATGACCCATATTCGAACTCATCTAAGCTATCACCTAGACAAGCATCCTGACCAAGTTTGATGATGATTGAGGCAAAAATGTGACCGCTAGAGTGTTAACAATATTTTTCTATTTTTAGCTCCGGTGACCTACTTTTTCATCCGAGGTACCCATGTTCGAACTCATCCGAGCTATCACCTAGACAAGCATCCTGACCAAGTTTGATGATGATTGAGGCAAGAATGTGACCGCTAGAGTGTTAATAAGGTGTTTCTATTTTTAGCTCTTGTGACCTAGTTTTTCATCCAGAATGACCCATGTTCGAACTCATCCAAGCTATCACCTAGACAAGCATCTTGACCAAGTTTGATGATGATTGATGCAAAAATGTGACCGCTAGAGTGTTAACAAGGTTTTTCTATTTTTAGCTCCGGTGACCTACTTTTTGATCCGAGATGACCCATGTTCGAACTCATCCGAGCTATCGCCTAGATAAGCATCCTGACCAAGTTTGATGATGATCGAGACAAAAATGTGACTGCTAGAGTGTTAACATGGTTTTTCTATTTTTAGCTCTTGTGACCTAGTTTTTCATCCGAGATGACCCATGTTCAAACTCATCCGAGCTATCAACTAGATAAGCATCCTTATCTAGATGATATTTATTTATTAGATACTTGGATCATAACAGTAGCAACTAGAGTGTTTACAAGATTTTTCTATTTTTAGCATCCTGACCAAGTTTGATGATGATTGAGGCAAAAATGTGACCTCTAGAGTGTTAACAAGGTTTTTCTATTTTTAGCTCTTGTGACCTAGTTTTTCATCCGAGATGACCCATGTTCGAACTCATCCGAGCTATCAACTAGATAAGCATCCTGACCAAAGTTGATGATGATTGAGGCAAAAATGCGACCGCTAGAGTGTTAACAACTAAATGTGAACGGACGACGGACGACGGACAATCATCGATCCTAAAAGCTCACCCTGAGCATGCTCAGGTGAGCTAAAAAAAATTAAATAGATCTAGTCTAATGAAAAATAAATATAATAAATAAATAAATAAATAAAAATGCAATAATGTAAAATCAAAATTAGCCTCGATCGTTGACTGGTGAGTGTTCATTAATACCCTGTACAATTTAACTCTAACACCAGTTTTAATCAAAAGATAAAGTTATTTTTGTGAAAACTTTAGTTCTACGAATGCAGAAATGTATCAATATGAAAATATTTGTACTTCCATATACATATTTGATGATGTTGATGTCGTAGGAAAGTGTATCTGTACAGTAACGGAAGATAAATTCGAAATTGATTAATTTATTCGTTGGCAAAAAGATACAACTTTGTTTTGAATACAATATTTTTGTACATAAGCATATACAATTATTACCGATGTAATTTTTATGGTCAATACAGTAGAAACACAAGCAAGGATAACGGATGCGGTTTTGTCTTCCTTCAATCTGCATATTGACAAAGTTATTTGACAGAAAGTAGCACTCTATCCTACCATTTTTAAAAAAAAAACTTCATGTGACATTTACCTAACGTTCATCTCGAGAATTCTGCATATGTAAATTGTGTGGTAACGGAAGTTAATAGGATTCTGGTCTGCTTCAATTAACCAGTTTGCTCCCATTATTGATACAGAAGAATAATCATAGGAAAGGGCAAAACTAGCATATTTTGTCTTGTTGCATGACAAAACGCCTTACATATTCTAAATATTCAAAAAGTTGTTAAATCATGATTTGATGTCAATCGATTTTATATCATTTTTCATATCTGAAAACAGCATAAATTTCTGGAATGACTGTGCAAAGAAAGCCCTCCTGTATATGGCAAATATGACATAAAAAGGGATGTATTCATATCATGCTTATTTTAAGCAAAATCATCAGGGCATTTGTGTGTTTAGTTTTATGGCGTACCAACACAACTTATGTCATATGGCGCCAAAACAGGAAAAGACCCCAGATATTGCAAAATCAGGCATTTGTACGAACGAGTGGGACCTACAAGAAATAATGCAGCTTTTTACTATTCACCTGCCCTCGCAATGCCTGGTCAAAGTAGTTATATGCTGCACCAATTATTTTATTTATCCATTTGTTTATTTTATTAATTTATATACATCACAGACACGTGTTGATAGTGACAGGTAGCGGGAATAAAGTGGGCGTGGTCACATATTTAGATAGTATTAAGATAAAGAATAGAATAAAGATGAAGCGTGGTACAATATACAAAATAGTCCATTTTGTATTTTGTGGAAATCGGCATTGATTTGATCTAGAGGTATTTTACCAGGGCATGTTTGATTTCAGTCTTCGTCGGATGTGTTACTTGGGTTAAAAATGGTGTACCGGTTGAAATATAATAAACATCATACATGTGAATTCTATGCAGATAGAAAGTGACGTTTTCATTACTAAGCTACCTACCTGTGAAATCAGAACATTTCATCTAAACTTTTAATCTGAATACATTACCTTGCTAGTGCTTTGGCGTCAATGACAATGTCGTCGTGAATAAATAAATCACGACGTCAAATCTCGTTTAACTTGATCACTGCAATTAATTTTGCAAATAAATGTTTTATATATGTACTTCTGTCTAGACCAATAAAATGGTAATTGATATGGTGAAGTACAGATATTGTGAACTAAACTCTACCATAACTAGACGTTGTGTATAAATCACGTAGTCTCGTCTAACGTGAATAAGACAAAAGTCAGCGCCAGGCAGGGACCACGCTCGACTTTTTATTACTTCTAAGGTCGAACACATTGAAGAAATAATATTGTCCTAGAAAACATAACTGTCTCAAACAAATTATAATCAAAATTTAATACTTAAACTTGACGGTCCAGGTCAGATTTTAATTAATCATCAATGCTAGTTTTGTAATAAGTGGGTTTTTTTGTCAAAGAGTAAACCAATTTCATAAATAAATAACAAAGTTATGACGATTTAAGTAAATTTCATTATTACATTGAAGGTCAATTATGGGTCAAGGTTATAGCTGAAATTTTCAACACGCTGTTTTGTCATGTGTCCTTTTGTCTAGGTAGATTTTATAACTAAATTCTGTATAATGAAAGTTTAAACAAATGTCAATAATTTGATCATAAAAGTCAAAATCATTTCAGGATAATTAAACATGTCAGTTAAGTTATACGAGTTATTTTGTTCAAGAGTAAATCAAATCCATAAAAACGCAATAGTTATGCCAATTTATGCACATTTCAATAATTTGACCTTGACTGGCAATCTCAATAGAAAGGTCATATCAGAACAACTTAACATGTTGGTTTGTCATCATATGTCCTTTTGTGCAAGTATAAATCAAATCCATAAATGTATTATTTTCCAGTTCCAATATTAGAAATTAATAGTATCAAACCATACATGTGAATTCCCTGCAGATGCGAAAAGGACATGTTTACATTATTCAGCTGCTGACCTGTGAACTCTGAACATTTCATCTAACCTTTTACTTCAAATAGATCTATATAAACTGTTGGAGAATTAATGGACCTGGGTGTTTCTAACACACAAAGCATGTTTCAGGTATTGCCCAAATCTCAACTTTAATCACAGTAATTGTCATTAAAGCTGCGCCCAAATATAACAAAATTGCCGATTTTAATTTTTTTATTCATATAATTTAACAAATATTCTAAACATAATTCAAGACGTAACTGTTATGTTCAGTTTTTTTAAGTTTCATTTCTTAGATATTAAAATTACTTGCACATTTTGCGCTTACTGTTTGTGTATTTTGACACCAATTTTATTTCTTAATAGTTTTCAACCCTGTAATACAATAACAACAGCCTGTTTATAACAGCAAAATGAAACAATAAACAACAAAAAAAACAACAAAATTTAGCTACACTATTTTTAGCTTTCTGGAAATATATAAAAGTTAAAATGAGTTTGTATTTGGAGGGTCAAAATGCCATTTACTTACTTTTCTCCCTTAATCACTTATTATTTTCTTATTGAGCTCTACTAACATGTACTTCCCATAAGCATCAAATATGCTAAAAAATCTGCTTAACACATGTTTGACTCTTCTAAAGAAATAAAAATTCTATTCTTAGCCATAATGTGCCTTTCAACAACAGCACTCTCTTCAGCTCAATCTACTATCTATTACATTATGTTCTTTCAATATAAACAAAATAAATTAGCCTTAAACATATAATAGATCCATTATTACAAAATTAAACTGGCCACAACATTGTACTTATCAGTGGCTTTTATTTATTTTCTTAAATTCCGCACAATCACTTATTGTGAATAAGTCTGTCCCTTTCACTCACGAGGCACCTTTCTGTTGATTACTTCTATCAAATTCTGCTAATGCCCATTGTTTATTTTCTAACTCAGCCTTCATTTTACCAAATTCCGCTACAATTTCTTCAAAACCATCCCCGACCGACTCATAAGCTTTTATAGCCTGTTCCCTGTGAAGTTTCTCTTTTTCACTATCTCTATAGGCATCATCCACATGTTTCCTGCATATATATACAGCATAAAATAAGTGTCAGAGTTTCATGGTCATCCACATGAAGGATTTCCAGAAAAATATATTCATCCCTAAAATTTTGAACAATAAAAAGAAATTATTTAAATCCAATATCTGTATGAATTGTTATGATGAAAAGCATTTTTTCCTAATTCTGGACCTAATTTATGACATTCATCCTCTAATTCTGTAAAATTTCAAGACATTCCTTTACCATAATTTTAGATATTACGAAATTCACTTCCTAATTTTGTTATTAAAAACATTTATCTCCTAATTTTAGTATAAAGCCATTCATCTGAGAATAAACATTTATCTCTCAATTTTGAACATAAAATTGATCCATTACCTCATTTTCGGATATTTTAATATCTATGACAATTAAGTCATTCATAACAAAGTATACATCCCCAAGATGTGGACATACAACCAGTTTATCAGGGTCCATGTCAATATACAGTTTGTAATGCTCCAGACAAGGAAATAGAAATGTGTCCATAGAAACAGATGTCCTCACACTCCACTGTTTTGTCAGTCTACACTTTTACCAACAGTAAATCTACATGCCCCACACCCCCAGTAGAAGCATTAAAATGGATCAACCAACTCACTACTGGACAACTTGTATACATACACACCTATACAGTGTATAACAATAATTTACCTGATGATTTTTAATGACTGTACTGTTTCTATCGTATATGTATCACATAAAATCTGTAACTCCACAAGCCTGCAAATAAAAGAAATGAAGTTCACAATCTTTACCATCGCTAAAAGTATCATAAATTCCTTTTTTCTGAACATCTTTAGCTTGGGAATATTAAAGTCCTTTAAGGGTTGAGTTTTGCTAAATTTTACTACAAACATATAATAAGTAAATGTGTGTTTGTGTTAGTTATGTCTTACCATCTAACTGACAGTAAAAATTATGAATCACTTAATTTTTCAAAAATTAGTTAAGCTTCAATTTTTCAATATTTTAATAGTCCCGAGCAGTTACTTGTAACCTTTATATGAAATCAATGTACTAAGTCAATTAAGGTTTTTAGGGGAAGGAAACTGGTGCCAATAGTAAACGGCAAAATAAATCAAAAGTGTGATTGGTTTATACTTTGCAACATCAACCAATACAATACCAAAATCAAGGAATTGCATTAATTAGTAACTACAATTTAATGTAGAAAAGTTAATTTCCTACAAATACAAATATTTTGCACAGACATTAATTCGCATTTATTTAATCTTAAGTTTAATAGTGATAAAAACTAGCTTTGCAAAATCAGCCCAAATTCCTGATGATGAAAATTAGTATGAGTGATTAAAAGCTGAATAAGCCCCAAATGTTTGCATTGGGTACATGTAGGCCTAAGCCAATATTCTCTATATTAACTCCTACCATGCCAGAAACTAAAGTGCTCAGCCTTTGTCACCAGTATAAAACCAGGAAAGCCACCAGCATATCTGTCTAGTCTGACCAGGTTCTACACTGTTAGCTGACTGACTACATTTTCATTGTGATATCCCTAAAACACACAAGACAGTTCCAGAAATGGAAATTAAGACTAGCGCATGTAAGAAATACAGCAGATTTAAAGTGACACATCTTACCTTATCTTGAGACTCATAGCATCACATTTAGCATACAGCCATTCTGTTGTTATAGTATCATTCTCACATTGTTTCTCCAGCTTGTATTTAGATATCAGAGTTTCCAACAAGCCTAATGAGTCTAAAAGTTTCTGAAGTAAAAAACAATCTAAATAAAAGTTCAGATTATCATGAATGTTTAAGTTAATAACTTCATTAAACTTTCAATAAAGTTATAAAAGCAACTAGATCGGTATAATATTTCACAAAATACAGCCTTATTTGCTTGTATAATAATATTTCACATCATTATATATCAATTATTAACATCAAATTGCTGTTTTTTTATTACACCATTTGACCATCCAATATTTTTCCATATTGGACACTGTCTTGTCCAATATAATTATCTTATATTGGACAGTTGAAAGTGAATGAACTTTTCTATGTGACATCAGCAGTAAAAGCTGTTAACCAAAATAGTATCTGAATGAAAAAATTTTAAAACCTCTTTTGAAAATGAAAATTTGACTATTGTACAAATTATAATGATTTATACTCATCAAATCATAATATATTTGGTGATATTTTGCATTCCTTCAATAAAATTTAGATACAGAGAATACAAATTATCTAAAATTGAGCAAGTACAGTACACAACATTTTTGTAACCTGGGATTTTTTAACAATGGCTTGGGCCATCCTTATAAAAATGTTTGTTTGCAGTAACCCGACCCAGAATTTTCAATGTGGGTAGGTAGGTCGATTTTTTTTTTATTGAACTGTACTCCCAAATAAACATGGAATTTCAAAATGCTGGACAATATATGCTTTGATAATCTGGTAACAATTAATAAATTGATAACTGAATTCTAATTTAATAAGACCTACATTTTATTTCTTCTATTAACCTTTAAAAGAATGAAAACAAAGCACAAGGCATAATTTTTTGATTCAAAAATAATTTTTTTTTATCCAGACCATGAAAAAAATTTTTGAGTAGGGCAAATTTTGTGAGTTGGTCGCGTTACTGCAAACAAACATTTTTTGAAGGATGGCCTTGTGTGTGTAATATTTTTTGTAGATAAAATTTTTTTTGGATGTTAATTGTTGAGATTTATATTGAACAATTGCTATTCATTTGCAGCAGCCAAATAAATCTGAAAACCATGAATATTGAAATTGGATTTCCATGATTGATTAAAGTTCATACCCTAGTCTGTATATAGTACATTTGTATATATTCTTAGAAAATGTTACAAATCCTTGCTTCAAGCTTGCAGAGGAAGACCCCGATAGCAAAACTATGCATTAAGTCTGGAACAAGTGGGCTTCAGAGCAGAACAAAAGACCTTCTGTTAGCTAGTAGGATGAATTAAATGCTTAACCTAGGAAAGAAAATCAAGAGAAAAACCTGATAATAAGCTGCAAACTGTTTATCCTTCTTCACAAAGTCCTCTTTCAGTCGACGTTTTTCCTCTTCTAGATGAAGTTTATCATTCTCTACAATGGCTGGTAATTGTGATGATTTGGCGAACGTTAACTTTGTGCTCTCTGTAATACATCAATATTAATATAGTCTACATCAACAACATATATGCTAAATAAGATCTATGTACTGGTGTTTGCCTAACATCAATGTTTTAACTTGGCAAATGTGGGTTTTTCCAATCTAATTACGAGGTACAAACAAACTTTACCATTATAGTTTCACATAGCACTACTGTTCACAATAGGAATTAAAGCATTGCTACTGAAGATTGTTTGTACCCCTACTCCGAGATTAAATTAGAAAAATCAACATTTGTCAAGTTCAGGAGTATCTTTATTCCACTACCTAATAGCAGTGTTTATATAAATTCTAAATTTATGCATTTTTACAAGTGATTTTTTGTGATTGGAGATAACAAAACAGAACAGACATTTTATTTGAGACTTGTACATAATACATTGTCTTGCAAATATATATATATAATACAATATATCATGTCACATGGTTATGTTTACACTTGAAAAATGTAAATAGTAACTAAATACAATAATACAAACTAAGTAGAACTAAGCAGGAATTGTATTTGAGATTAGTGCAAAAGTTTATCATCATTCAAGAAACATATAAGATAACATATATGTACAATAATCTGCACAAAGTTTCAGACTTTAAAAAGAGTCATTACTTCGAATTTTTTATAATCTCTGAACATATAAGAAAAGTAACCCTCTGAATTTAATTTTTTTTTTAAACTTTACTTAGGAACCATGCAGCATGCAAGTGTATGCAGTCAGACTCAAGTCTATATTGTTGTCTAATAAATATTTGAAACCAACATTAAAAACTCCTAAATTAATGTCAAACACTTTGGAATTGATATGAATCGAAAGTCTTTTACACAAATTTATCAAGGTAATGTTTATTAAGATTTTAAACTTACCCATTGATGAATTCTGTGGATCATGGGCTACAACTAATGTTTCACATTTTTTTCTTAATCTTTCCTCTATTTCTGGTATAAGTGCCTGTTGTAATGACTGTAAATGCTGTAAATCAAGTATAATTGTTTTATTTGACATCTGAATATGGCAAAATATAGTTAGTTGATGTTTTTGAGTCATGTTAACAGGTAAGAGGGTTTTCACGGTGACGGTAAAAGTAGCAGCTAAGCCATGGCTTTGGACCTACTGACCTAAAAAATCAACAGGGTCTTGAAAAACCTCCCTACCAAATCTGAAGCGTTCTCCTTAGTTATTTATTTCTTGTGGTAAAAGTAATAGTATCCTACTGACCTCAATATCATTCAAATCATATAGATCATAGGTTAAAGTATTGTGGTCAAGGCCGGTTACTTTTAACACATTTTAACAACTAAAATTCTTGCACCAAAGTAACTCAATAGTCAAACAATTCATCTACATTTATTGAAGGTCACTGCTTTGAAGATCCTAAGGAACATACTAGAAAATATATTCTTAGAAGGACTTTCCTTTATCCTTAAACCTGTAAATATCAGTCTTTAAATGACTAATTTTAAATCTTTTATGAATATTTCAAGTTACAAAGTAAGGAATCCAACTTGACACCCCTGAATAATCATTAAAAAACATCCTTTTTTTTAATTTCACTGTATAACCATAATGTAAATAGTGTATATTTTGTCAATTATGCTGTTGAGGTCAATATGTAAGATTGGTAACCAAATGTGTAAATAAGTAAATAAAGTAAATAAAGGTCTTTACTTACCTACTTCATTAAATAAAGTCTTTACTTACCTACTTTACCTACTTTTTACTTACTTTGTGCATGAAATCAATGTAAGTTAACATATACCTTTATTTTTTACCTTTTTGTATGGGTTCTGGTCATACAGCTCCTGTTTCGTGAGTCCCAGTGTGGTGGCTTTAGAGCAAGGGTCTGGGCTAAAGTCTAGATAGTCCCCGATCTCAGCTTGTGTCAGGCACTGCTGTAGTATCTTATGAAACTGAAATATTTATGTAAGTGAATATCTACATATTTATGTTGTACTGGAAAATGTATGAAATAATACACAGCTTGTTACATGAAATAAAATACAAGAAAACATAAAAGACAAGCCTAAAATTGAGCATAATATGATTTCTCAAACTGTTTAAATGCATTCAAACATGTTCTGTAGTACTCAATTGTACAATACCATGTAATGTATTTTATCTAAAAATTCTAATCCAAATTATATTGAGGAAAGGCAAAATGTCACTTAATGTTTATATATCTTTTTTTTTTTGAAAACAAATAATCAGGCACTTGCAATTTGATTAACAATGACAGTGCATGGAAAAGGTCATACACACTCAACCCTGCATTACAGGATATGTAACCCTAAACAGATGATATTCTGTATAAAGCTAGTGCTTACTTGTTGATCTCTAGACGAGAGGGAAACATCTTGACTCTTCAACTCATAATCAAGCAGCAGTTCCTGGACCTCCAGATACAAAATATGGTTTAATAACCAAGAGTGTTTCTCATGTCGTAACACTTCTTCAGCCTTCATTAAAATACAGAAATATGTTACAATGCATGTATTTTTTTGTTGAAGATAAATATAATGAATTTAAAACACTGACTTTTGGCTATTTAAGTGGCATTATCTTACAAATAATAGTAGTATCTTTCATAATAACATTTAACTAAAGTTAATATATGGGTTTTCAAGTCACTGACAAAGTTATTACTAAGTACAATTTGATAATTTTTATTAACCATGTAATGTAAACAAGAGGGCCATGATGGCCCTGAGGTCGCTCACCTGTATATAGGCCCCCCACCCCCGGGCCAATTTTTACCCAAGGGCTTTTATTTGTTTATTTGAACAGACTTGGTAGACACCCATAAGAAGATGTTTCATGCTAAACATCTAAGTTCTAGCTCATTGGCATTTTTAAAAGATGATTTTTAAAGTTTTTACTATACACATATAGTTAAAAACAATGTCACCCCTGGGGCAGGGCCAGTTTTGACCCCCGGGCGTTTATTTTAACAAACTTTGTAGATATTTACTTAAAGATGTTTCATGCTTAATATCTAAACTCTAGCTATTTGGGTTTTTCCAAAGAAGATTTTTAAGTTTTTGCTATACACATATAAGGAAAATCAATGACCCCCCCCCCCTCCCCCCGGCGGGGCCAGTTTTGACCCCAGGGCTTTTATTTGAACATACTTGGTAGACACCCATTAGAACATGTTTCATGCTAAATATCTTAGCTCTAGCTCTTTGAGTAATTTTGACCCCAGAGCTTTTATTTGAACAAACTTGGTAGACACTCATTAGAAGATGTTTCATGCTAAATATCTTAGCTCTAGCTCTTTGGGTTCTTTAAAAGAAGATTTTTTAAGTTTTTACTATATGCCTATAGGGAAAATCTATGACCCCCTGGGGCAGGGTCAATTTTGACCCCAGGGCTTTTATTTTAACAAACTTGGTAGACATTCACTAGAAGATGTTTTCATGCCAAATATCTAAAGCTCTAGCTCTTATGGTTCTTTAAAAGAAGATTTTTTAAGTTTTTACCATGTGCATATAGGGAAAATCAATGACCCCCTGGGGCGGGGCCAATTTTGACCCCAGGGCTTTAATTTGAACAAACTTGGTAGACACTCACTAGAAGATGTTTCATGCTTAATATCTTAGCTCTAGCTCTTTGGGTTCTTTAAAAGAAGATTTTATAAGTTTTTACTATATGCATATAGGGAAATCAATGACCCCCTGGGTCGGGGCCAATTTTGACCCCAGGGCTTTTATTTGAACAAACTTGGTAGACATTCACTAGAAGATGTTTCATGCCAAATATCTAAGCTCTAGCTCTTATGGTTTTTTAAAAGAAGATATTTAAAGTTTTTTCTTTTGGTTGCCATGGCAACCAGAGTTCTGCATGGAATTAAATTCTTTGAACAATTTTTAAAGGTGACCACCAAAGGAACATTCCTGTGAAGTTTGGATGAAATTGGCTCAGTGGTTTATGAGGAGATGTCATTTAAAGCAAAAGTTAACGGACGGACGGACGACGGATGGACGGACGCCGGACGAAAAGCGATCACAAAAGCTCACCCTGTCACTTTGTGACAGGTGAGCTAAAAAAGGATACTTTCTAGCTTTGTGAATAGGGCTCTTTTTCGGCCCCAAAAACTCTGTGATAAAAACAAAACACATTGTCAATGACAGTCCTCAAATAAAGAGCAGAATTTTAACCTACAGCAGAGAAAGCCTAATGATTTGAATTGAATGATAATCACCACTTGGTCTTACCAGAGATATTTCAAACAATTCTAATTAAAATGAAACAATACCTGTTTAAGATCTTTATTTGTTTGAATAGATACATCATCTGTTTGAATAAATGACGATAGTTTTGTCAGCAATGTACAGAAATCTGGATACTTCTCTACATCATCTGTACTCAAGTTGATGTGCGGAAACTGACTGTTTACTGTAAAAAAAACAACAACTATAACTGTATAAGCTTTAAATAAAATGAGAGCAAACAAAACTGTTTTAGGTCAAATTATTATTAGGGACAAAATGCATGATTTCTTTGGGGAAGCAGCCCTACAACAGCCCCTGCTAAAGAAAGAAAAAAAGCCCTGACTTAACACAGAAGATAACCAATAATTAAAAGAAAATTGGCTAGACAGTAAATTTCTAACTAATGTTAATTTTTATTGGCTGCTCAAAAATCTAATTTGCATAATGATTAAGGCCATCCTTAAAAAAATGTTTGTTTGCAGTAACGCGACCGACTCACAAAATTTGCCCCTACTCAAAATTTTTTTTCATGGTCTGGATAAAAATTTATTTTTTTTGAATCAGGAAATTATGCCTTGTGCTTTGTTTTTGTTCTTTTAAAGGTTAATAGAAGAAATAAAATGTAGGTCTTATTAAATTAGAATTTAGTTATCAATTTATTAATTGTTACCAGATTATCAAAGCATATATTGTCCAGCATTTTGAAATTCCATGTTTATTTGGGAGTACAGTTGAATAAAAAAAAAAAAAAATCGACCTACCTACCCACCTTGGAAATTCTGGGTCGGGTTACTGCAAACAAACATTTTTTTAAGGATGGCCTAATCTATCAGTTTTGACAGAATGACTAATTATTAACCCAATGGACAGTTCTGTTTTCGTACATATAAACCTGGCACAGATTTTAGATGTGCCCTTGGCCCTTTGCTGATGATTTTCCCAAGCCATTATTTTTTTAGCGTGCAAAATCCCATCCTCGGCAGATTTCTGCCATTTCACTCTCCAAAAAGTACATTTAACATCAATTTGTTTTTTTTCTTGCCATTTCATTGTTTAGATTGAGTCTGATGCTACAATGTATAGAGAGTAGACTTCAAATTCTGACATATGCATAGTCGGATAGAGCTATGATCTTTTTAACTTGACTTGTTAAACTAGAGTTGGAATAAATGTGTGAAGTTTCAACCCATACCCTTCAGTAGTTTTGGAGATGCATGCAAAAATTTAACCCAAACATGACTGCGATGCTACCGCATAGATGAGTAAAATGAATTATGGTGGTTTCGTCGAACTACCGGTTCGGCGAACTTAATTTATGATAGGGGTGTCATCGATTCAATCGATATCGGTGTATCAACGATCTTTGATATCCGATTCGATATCGATTCCATTTTTTAAATATCGGATATCGAACGCACATATATTTCTAGCTAAAGAGACTTCAGCGACCAGGTTTTATAGAACTTATAGACCTGTTTACTGTCGCAAAACGTCAAAATAAAAGCGACATATAAAGTTATGGAAGCCAGAAACATTTTTTTTTCTAAAATGAAAACGGAAATCAATGCCAAAGTTACCTCCCAGTGTCTCTAACGAATGCTGCCTAATTTCGTTGTAATCTCGCACGTCTGCTAAGTGGATGTCAAGACCCCTCAATTCAGATTTTAAAAAGTGAAAATGCCAAGAAAAATTTGTCAGTGTTTCTTTGTAAAATTATAATTACAAAATGTTAAACTTTAATGATTATTCAGGTTCTAAACACTATAATTAGCCAAATAAACCGGCTTAATTGGAACGGCAAGGACGGGATTTGGCATGATCAGTAACTACGTAATAGCAACAACAACAACTAGAGTATAATGGAAACTAGTCATTCGTTTTCATTTATAGCTATATACAAATTGCTCAGTTTTCACAGTTTTCATCTTTTTTGCATTTGTCTTAATATAACTGCTTTGTCAGTGTCCATAGGAAACATTTAAAAAGACTTGAAAGCTAAAATTTAGCCTTGCAATCGATATATCGCTGTATCGCCGATAATTCATTACCGATATATCGATACAAAAATCCTTGTCGATGACACCTCTAATTTATGAAGAGGTGCAAAAGTGGTTTCGTCGAACTGATGTTTTATAGTAATGAAAGGCAAAGTATACTTGGTTCATATATATAGTGTTTTTATCATCAATATTTTGTTATAATTAAATTTTGACGCAAATATCATTAATGAATATAATATATTGTAGATATTTATTTTGATAATGATTTTTTCGTTATTTGATAAATTATTTTTTAGGCAAGAATAAATTACAAAAAAACCCCAAAAAAAACAACAATATTATTTTGTTTGCAAAATGTATTGTTTAGTTAGGGCTTGGTTTACGAAATAAATCAATTGTTTATAATTGATGACAGATAAAGCTTGTTTGTCTTATCAGCCGATCAGTTAACACTAATCATATAACTTAAATTCAAGCTTTTTGTGTGTATATATGTCGATTTTATTCCGATTAAAAACATTTTTATTCAGCTTTAACTATTTGTGTACTGGTATCGAAGCAGTTTCCGATAAAAATATGAGGTTATTGAAAAATTTCTCAATAACAACGTCTCCAATTTAAATAAACTTTTGATATGACTAAATGCAGGTCATGCATTGTTATTGTAAATTAAAACCGGATTCCTGAATAAGACATGCGCATCAAAAATGGGGCTCCAACGGGAGGTGTAAATTAGCCGTAATTGCCTCGCTACAGAAGCAGTTTCCGACACTTTTTTTAATCATTGATTTTGCGGGTTTATAAATCGGTATCAATGTTTTTGTTATAATAAGACTTTTTGAAGGCCTCTTTAGACAAATAATACTGCTTTACTTAGGGTTTTAATCGTAATAATTCAGAAATCCTGGTCGACATAATATGACATCTGCAGTGATTTTTACCGAGATTATTATCAGACCGGTTCCGGCGCACTGACCAGTTCCGAACAATCAAGCGAGCCATTCACGTAACCGACAATAAATATAGAAAATATTCACTGGTTTTGTAGGTTATTGACATTAACAAATAAATAATTAAATCATCATTCTATTTCGGCTTCTTATTTATAATTTTCGTCTGATTTAGGCATAAATGCTAAATTTCATCTCGCCAATCTTATTGGTATTGGTATACCGGTACTGCAGTACATATTAATTATATGTAAACTGAAAGAAAGGGACACAGTTTATATATTGAAGGAAAAGTTGTTATCTGCCTTACAACTTCATCCAGAAATATTTGCAAAAATATAACATAACATGTATTATTTGGATGGGGGACGGCGCCGAAAAAATGGTCACTTTTTTTAACAACATTTCTCAAACGAAAAACAGTGTTTGGGGTCTAAATAGGACATTTTTTCACTGTTTGAGGCCTCAAAAGGGGGGGGGGGGGCAAAAAGCCGTCGAAACACGCTTATATAAGGGAAAAGGTTAACAAAAAATGATGAAAAACCTTGGAATCACCCAAAATCTAGTTTTTCCATGTTAACATGTGGTCTTTTACCTAATTTTGGTGAAAAATTGTTGTTTTGTAACATTTATATTTTTTTAGTTAACCCTTTCCCCCATGAGCATATCGTGAAAAATGGCCATTTTAACTGAAAAGCCTCCCTTTACAAGTTCAAACTGCTATGAAACTATGAAAAATGCTTCAATACTAATCAAACTTGGCACAAATGTTGACTGGACCATTGCCTTTGTAACGACATGCTCAGTCTTAAATTTCCTGTTACCATGGCAACGAGGGGACATCTCAAAATTGCCAAAAATCACTATTTTGCCTCGATTTTTTCCATCAAAATTTATTTCAAAGTGCTGCAACTTCTCAATGGATTGAGATAGAGTCAAAGGCTTTTCAGCGTTGGTTACACGTTACTTTATGATCAACCTGGGGTCATTTTAAGCCTCTCACAAGTCCAAAATTTTCTTGGCGATGAGGGGGACTCCGCCCCCTTCAAACCCCCAAACAGAAGGGGGCACATCCCCCTTCTGGCAACCCCCTGATGTATTATTTGGATGGGGACGGCGCCGAAAAATGGTCACTTTTTTTAACAACATTTCTCAAACGAAAAACAGTGTTTGGGGTCAAAATAGGACATTTTTTCACTGTTTGAGGCCTCAAAAGGGGGGGGGGGGGGGGGCAAAAAGCCGTCGAAACACGCTTATATAAGGGAAAAGGTTAACAAAAAATGATGAAAAACCTTGGAATCACCCAAAATCTAGTTTTTCCATGTTAACATGTGGTCTTTTACCTAATTTTGGTGAAAAATTGTTGTTTTGTAACATTTATATTTTTTTAGTTAACCCTTTCCCCCATGAGCATATCGTGAAAAATGGCCATTTTAACTGAAAAGCCTCCTCTTACAAGTTCAAACTGCTATGAAACTATGAAAAATGCTTCAATACTAATCAAACTTGGCACAAATGTTGACTGGACCATTGCCTTTGTAAACGACATGCTCAGTCTTAAATTTCCTGTTACCATGGCAACGAGGGGACATCTCAAAATTGCCAAAAATCACTGATTTTGCCTCGATTTTTTCCATCAAAATTTATTTCAAAGTGCTGCAACTTCTCAATGGATTGAGATAGAGTCAAAGCTTTTCAGCGTTGGTTACACGTTACTTTATGATCAACCTGGGGTCATTTTTAAGCCTCTCACAAGTCCAAAATTTTTCTTGGCGATGAGGGGGACTCCGCCCCCCTTCAAACCCCCCAAACAGAAGGGGGCACATCCCCCTTCTGGCAACCCCCTGATGTATTATTTGGATGGGGGACGGCGCCGAAAAAATGGTTCACTTTTTTTAACAACATTTCTCAAACGAAAAACAGTGTTTGGGGTCTAAATAGGACATTTTTTCACTGTTTGAGGCCTCAAAAGGGGGGGGGGGGGGGCAAAAAGCCGTCGAAACACGCTTATATAAGGGAAAAGGTTAAGATACACTATGCTCTGTAGTGTAATTAATTTAACCTCTGAAAGCTAAATGATAAGATAACATGCAGAAGAAAGAACAAATAAATATCGATTTCTATGTCAGTTAACAGTTATTACTTGATCTAAAAATTGCTGTTAATATATCTGTTTTATGGATAAAATCTGGGACAGAAGATCGTTCTGTCCCAGATAAAAGAAACAGTAAATAATACGATTATCTATAAATAATAAATATTATATTGGAATAAATATTGTTTGAGCACAATCGCAAAACAAAAACTTATTTTTTATCTTGACCATGTCACGATTTTGTGATACGTACGGCCAACTAAGCAGGTCCTAGGGCTTGAGGGGGGATACTACGAAGAACAAATTTTCGTTCAGCGATGCTCCAAGATGCGTTTTCCGGTGTATTTCGCACCGTTTAAAATCTGCAACTAGTGAATATTATTTTGGCATATGTAAATTGTTTTTACAAGATTTTACAACGATCGTGCATCATAAACTTAATTAAGGGTGAAAAGTTGACTTTTAAAGATCGCATATCGTAAGGACAGTTGTCATATATTACCTGCAAGAACAGAAGTACGAAGATTATGTTCATACGATGGTTAAAGCTAATCAATGGTCGATCATATGTGGTTCAAACAGTACATTACAAGTCAATCACTTTCGTTATTTTGTTCAAACTAATTTATTTACAGCAATGTTCTTGTATTTTGTTCGCAAGAGTTTATCTTACACAGCGCAGAGTCTGAGTTCATGTTATTTTTTTTCAAACACGTCGCCGTCGTTTTCTGGTAGTATTGAACTCACCTCGGCCATAACTGAACCATGTAAGTTTAGTAAAACTGCCGTGTATACGCAATTTAATGATAAGATTGTTCAAAGGCAGGTCTGTATACTTATTATTGTACTCTTCGCAGGTTTTTAATATTACAAATGGTTTGTTGGTAATATTACAAATGGTTTGTTGGTAATATTACAAATGGTTTGTTATGTGCACCGGAACTGGTAAACCTAAACAATCAGATTAAATCAAGCGGTATTCTTATAAGAAAAAAAAGGTTTGAAGTGGAATCAAATATCTACTAGCAAGTACATTTGGTCTTGAAACAATTTGTTAATTTGTATGCAGGCAGCGAAAGTTGAAAACCTGTGTCGGAACCGGTCAAACAACTGTACGTATTTTAATGTCTATTTGAATACAGACATTTTTGATGTGAACATTTGTACAAATAAATATATAACAAAAGAAAAGAAAAAGAAGAAAAAAAAGAAAACTTGTTAATCATTAAATTTTTTATCACGGTCATTGATCAAAACTAGACTTTTTACATTTCACGGGCATATCGTATGCTTGTACCACGAGTTTTATTGCATTCATGAATCCATAACACATTAATTTCAAGTACGAATTAATTTCAAGTACGAAAATATATAAATGAAATTCTCTAAACACTCCATAAGGTGCCCCATAATAAAAACAGCCTTCTATACGGGAAACAACCTACTGTAATATAGACTAGAACAGTGTTGCCTCCCTTGGTTAGAAGAAAATTGCCGCGGGTTTCCCATTTCTGTCATTTTTGCTTTTATTTCAAGATTTGTTGATTAAAAATTTCAACAACACATAGCTCTAGCTTATATTTATTGACTATTATGAAATTTGAATGATTATTAGCGACTTTTGAAATGTCGTCTGTATTCGCTGGCAAAGGGGGCAAACTTGTCTCAATTTGTGCCTAATGGAGTTATCCTTTGCGCATGCGCAACAGTAGCACGTGAAATCCCTCATGCGAAAAATGTAAACACACCTGCTTGTAAAATATAAAGGTGAGAACGATTATGTTTAATGTTGATTTTAGACTGAAGAAATTCTGTCGAACGTTTCCTTGAATAATATTGTTCTGATAAAAAAACTCGCTTTCAATTTTGAAGAGTTTCAGTAAACGAAAATAACCGTATTGTCGGATACTACTAGCCGACGGATACTGCTTCGATACCAGTATATAGTTTGACATTATATGTCACATAGATTACAAAAATAAACTTGTGTGAAATGTATCCGGGATAATTTGTGTAAATGTTGACTTTAGGTTTTTTTTAAGCTTGACTTTTCAGTGAATAGCCTATTAAACATTTAGCAAAATGACATCTAACGTACACGTTATTTATTTATTTGTTACTAATTCATCAGAGAACCACTCACTCGTAGGGATTAGCAGAAGTGTTTACATCCGAAAATTCACTTATCCGAAATTATGCAAATCAGTAAAAAAAGTAAAATCACTTCATAATTGGTGTTACGACAAAAATAACTCAAGAGAGGATATCTTATTTGTTCAATATCTTCACAATGAAATGAAAATCATTACATTTTTCATATAACGTCGAAAATTTTCGCTCGTTTGCTGCCATCGTATCGGTTCACGTTTCCCGCAATATTTTGATGCACACCCGGACTGAAAAGATAATTTAAAATTGTATAAGAACAGCAATTGCATTTATGCCGGCTCGCCACGGCGAGCCGGTATTACGGTAGGATTTTACTGAGAAACAACCTAAAACTCCGAAGCCATCCAAAAATTTAATCGAAGCTTGGCTTCCAGCTTTCTACAAAATTTATCTATCAGGGCTAGGATCCAAAATTATTTAGCCAATCAAATGTAATCTTACATAGCGTCAAAAAACCTTCAATTTTCACGCCATTTTTAAAAATCAGCAAGTATTGTTTTGAGCGCAAAGATATAATGATGATTAAAATGTTTGTCTTTATGAATTCTTTTCAATAAATCATATTTGCACTGACTTCTGATTTAGCGATTTCACCTGTTTTCTCTGTAGTAAGTTTTCGTTTGGTTAATTAACATAAGTGTACATCTGGTTCTGTGTATTTTTTATTTTTTTATTTTTTTTCCGGTCATTTTATCCTTTCCGGTATTTAGTGTATGTATTTACTAGCCGGGATCCGGGACGCCCGGGATCCGGGATCGTATAAGATATGGAGGAAAAACCTAATGAACTATATTTGTGTTGATTGTTGTCGTAATGAAAGACCATTAAACGTTATTTTTTTTTATTGTATATAATGAACGTTAAATTAATTTAACTTAGAATATAGATATATTTAGAGCTATTTATTAACAAACTTAAAATGCGGAAATCACAATACTTATAATTATATGCCTAATTAATTGGAAAAATCAAAGACTATTTTCTTGAATTGGCCAAATCCCGGGATCCCTATATGTTTTAAAACGATCCCAGCTTTTCTGAAAACTATATACTTGAACTGGCCAATCCGTGAGATCTATTTACATTTTAATACGATCCCGGCTTTTCTGAAAACTATATTCTTGAACTGGTCAATTCCCGGGATCCGTATATGTTTTAATACGCAATCACGGCTTTTCTGGATGAATTGATTGACAACTTGTGTTTACTTTAGGACTTGTGCCTCTCATTCCAATACTAAATAACATACATGTATTACAACTTAATTTTGTATAAAGAGACATCTTTATGAAATCTACCTATCTAACATTTTGTGGTCAAGGTCAACAGGCCATATAGTAAATGTGCATAGACATAGGTTCTTCATTCCATCTGTTTACATGCACCTTCATATATACTCATACTAGCTCATCTTGGTTAAACTGAGAGAACTTTATATGTCACTTTCAGTCAATGAGTTTAAGATTTTGAATTTACTGGCCCGAATTCCAGTTTTGAATTTATTCTACTAAATAATTAACAAAATTTTCTTAAATTTACACTGGCCTGAACTTATATACACTGGCCATCGGGCACCGGGCCAGTGTTGACTTCACTTTTATTTTGATGTTCGCTGAAGTCTCTTCAGCTAACAGAACTGTCATTTTTACATTTAAACACACCCCTTGAAAAAAATTACGAAGCGAGTCGCTACTAGCTTTTTTAAAAGCTAACCTTGTTTCTCTTCTTATATTGAAAACAGAAAATAAATGATAATTATCATATAAAAATGTTTTGAACTGAGATAATAACGTGCATTACACAGAATCGATGTCATCTCATCCATCGAAGATATCACAGTTGTATCATAGTTTGGGGACCTTTCTGTTGAAAAAGTGTCAGAGTTACATCACAAGCACCTGCTACCAGAATTTAGCAGATTTGCCGGTTGGCAAGAAGAACCAATATTTATATGCATTATATAGCACTAGAATTTTTAAATTCTAATAACTTTTTTTATTTGTGGATCGATTTTTTAGATTCTTATATCATTTGAAAGTTTTTTACATTCATATTTTTGAAATGTAAGCGGATTTTCATTTTTTGCTTTTAAAAAAGAATGCTCAGCTATTTTTTTAACTGTTATTTCAATAGTTTTCTAGCACCAAGTTTAACTCTTTACCAAGAAAAAATGAAAGCGTTTTGTAAATTTATTTTTTAATTTTTAAAATATGAGTAAAATGACCTTTCTAATGATATAAAATACTAAGCTGTTTCATAAAAAAATAAGTTTGTTATTGTAAATATAAAATTACTATATTTTGCATTTTATTAGCCACCATATTTTTTGCCAACCATCCGAAAGTTACCTGTATATCTTATCAGCAATTTGTTACTATTAATAGATTTCATAACAATAACATGCAACTTGCCTATACATATACATGCACAGTGCGGTAACTGGAGTGCAGGTATCAGTTACCCGCACTCCAAATCATGCCCATTGATTGGCTCATTTTTGCTGGGGTTTACATATTGTGACGGCAGAGAAAGGGAAAGCGGCAGAAATATCATAGAGTCACCGTACCAGTGCTCAACCAGTTTTTCACAAAATTATATAAAAACTCTTTCAGAATAAAAAAGTTTGCTGGGAAAATTATTTTTGTTACAAAGCTGGCCCTTTCAAACTCACAATAAGCTTAAGCGTTTTAATTACACAGATTAGGATACAATTTACCACAGAGTTGTATATAGGGTATAAAACTATTATATTTTTCAGGCATCCAAACCAGTGCTCGACCAGGTGGTTTTATCTCTATCAGAACTTTTATTTTTTTAAAACAGATATGACTTTTTATGTTCAACAATTCTATTTCAAAAATATTTTGAAACATTTATGTTTTAGGATCTATAAATGTTAATATGAGAGCAAATATTATACGAAGGAAATGCTGTACATTGACAAATAGTGTTTATAAGAGTTTTGGTATTTACATATACTGAGGTGTTTGAGATTACTTATTCTCATATTTTCCGGGCTACTTGTACATGGTGTAGAGGTTACAAGTCAGGTACAAATAGCACACACAAACTCCCAGGGTTTTTCCACTTTAATGCATAAATCGTAAACAAATAGAAGTATTGGTCGAGCATTGGGCTGGGCGTATACATCACGTTCTGCTCAATTTTAGACGAGTTTTTTTTTCAATTGCATTGGATTCTCATATAGTTAGATTAAACACACTGTAATGTAGGTACGATGCACATGTAGATACAATATTAATGAACAGTTAAAATACAAAAGTACTTGGAGAACGCACTTAAGAAATTTACTTTAATGAAATAAGAAGGTGCAATTTTAAACTTCTATATACTTCACTGCAGAATTCCGCCTGCAAATACACGTTCATGTATGTTTCAAAATGAACTATTATACTATAATTTCACGAAATATAATATCAGAGCTCTGAAAGAACTAGGAATTAAAAATCTATCGTGCATGAGTGCGATCATTTTCTGTTATGGACGATTACAAATCTTGGTGTGGGAAATATCAAATACAGTCATTGACAAAGAATGTCAAACATTTATATTTTTAACATAGGAATAAATACAAGCAAAAGTGTGCTAGATTAGCAGATAATAAGAACTTTCAGTCAGTGACATTTTCTAATCTATACAAAATTTACACAACATCTGAATTTTAAACTTTAATAAATGTTATATAAGTGTTGTAAAATTTTTCCAAATACTTTCCCAAATCTTTTTCAGTGTTTTATACCTATTTCCCGGGCTGTCAGGAACATTGACGTACATCAATAACTCCCACAAGTCTTCATGTATTTTAAATTTTGCCACACTTAACAAAGATTGGTTCACAGATTTTAAGATATACTACAAAAATCAAGAACTTTTTGTTTTACACCATGACAAAAATTTGTCATCCCTTTGGATTTCAATTAGCTGAAAAATCAGCATTAATCATTTATTTTTACATTTTTACGTTTTATCTTATTTTTGTTAAAACCATTTTTCAAGAAACTTTCTAAAGTCAGTGTCTTAATCGTCCATGACAATTCTAACTACCTTCTGGTAGATTAAAAGGAACGTCTGTTCATCTCTTAAATATTACTATAGGTGACCACGCATGTGCTTGTTTGTTGAAAAAAATAAAACCATAAGATTGAAGACGTGGTGGAGTTATCTATGTGCCAGGAGTACACCTCCAATACTAGGAAGTATGAGAGATAATTGCACGTTTTATCTTATTTAACTAGAACAGAACATGTATAGAGAAGGGATTGCCACTAATTTGTCAACACTGAGGCGTGTAATTGTTAAATATTAATTGGAAATAATTAAAATCAAAGATCCAATTTCCAAAACGTCATTTTAGATATCTCGCCTAAGTCCCAGTTTATCTAATTGGATCCAGTTTCACATCTTTTTTAGGACAGAGATATAAATACATGGCCTTTAATTATAGTTCATTAAATTAGAAATTATATATCGAATATGCAATAATGCCTTAACAACATGTGGTGTTAATGTTTATCGTATAATTTTTTATAATTATGAGAGATTTTTTACAAACATTTCCATGATAGTAATTATTTTGTGAGCTATACATGACAAAAAAAACACAAAACGTGGCTATTTGATAGGTACAGATTATTGATTTAATTATCGATGAGTTTTGAAAACGTGTATAAGTTGCATTTTAGTACCTCTGAACAAGTAGCGACGATAATATACATGTATTGATTTAGTGTAGATATGTCGGAAATTAACTGTACTCCACTGCAATCTTTGTGTAACCCTTGTATTTAAGGGGTGAAAAAGAATAGTGGTTTTGTGCCATATATGATTTAGTGCTGTGGAAATATTTGCAGAGTTACGTCCCTTGAAAAGAAATCAAAATGGCGACCAACATATCTGGTCGGACGGGGCATTTCGAAGTTTATATACGCCAGCAATGGTGTAAAGTGACAGTGACGTTAAATGATGAATCATTAACTTTATCCCTTGACGAACCTCCTGAAAATATGTCCACATCTTCCACAAACAACGATATATCAGCTCAGTCCAGTAACGTCCCATCAAATACCCAAGAAGCCGCTCATGTACCTGACAATATTCCTGGCCAAAAGCGAGTTGTCAAAGTTATCAAAGAGGAAACATATGGCCTTGGTATAAGTATTAAAGGTGGAAGAGAGAATAAAATGCCAATTTTGATCAGTAAGATATTTAAAGGCATGGCTGCTGATAAAACTGGACAGTTGTATGTTGGTGATGCAATTCTTGCAGTAAATGGCGAAGATCTTTGCAACGCCACACATGACGAGGCTGTCAGGGCATTGAAGAATGCTGGAAAGATAGTTGAAGTGGAAGGTAACTTCTTGCTTAGCCTCTTGACCTGTGTTTGATCCTAATTTCAAAGCGTTACAGTAACATCCAAATTTAACTTTCATTTTAGCTCTCGTAATGCATACCAGCTATTTATTTTAAACAAATTTTATTGGAAAATATCTCTTCAATAAACATGTTATGACATCGTGAAAAAATTATTCCCTGTTTAACTTTTAATAAAATCAATATGGCCGATCCCGTTTGA